TACTGGTTCAGAGGATAGAGTTTGTAGGAGCGGTGCTTGACTCCACTTGGGCCAGAGACCACCTGCCGGAGACCCGGTTCCAACAAGTAAGGCAGAGCTCGCTGTGCTGGGAGGCTCTTCGGTTATGGGATTTCTGCGTGGAACATGCTGTTCGCCTCGAGGCGTCGCACCACCCCCAGGACGCGCAGGGGTGGATCACCTCAGCAGGCCCTTCTCCTCTCCCCACAAGTGGTCCCTCCTCCCAGAGGTCGTCAGCGCTGTCTTCCAGAGGTGGGGACTCCTTGGGTGGACCTGTTCCCCTCCAGATGGAACAGGAAATGGCAGCAGGTTTGCTCAATGCACAGGCTCAGCATCCGACGTCGTCTGTTCTTGTGGGCGGGGGTGACTGCTGTACACCTTCCCACCGACACGCTTGGTCCACAGCGTCCTCTTAAAGACCAAGAGAGACAGGGCGAGGGTTATTCTGAGAGCCCCAGTGGCTTGGCATGCTTCTGGACCTGTCGGTGGCGGCCTTGTTCGAGCTCCCACTATTCCTGGACTCGCTCTCGCAGAACAACGGTCGGTTGCTTCATCCAAACCTCGTGTCCCTGCATCTGATGGCTTGGCTGCTCCATGGCTGAACCCTGAGGAGGGCCTCCTTGGAGCAGGTCCAGCAAGTCTTACTGGGTAGCAGAAAACCCTCTCCCAGGGCAATGTGTGGCCAAGTGGAAGCATTACACATGTTGGGCCTTGGATTGGGGTCTGTCCCCATCTCAGTCCTCTCTGCATCCAGTCTTGCTCCACCCGAAGCACCAAGATCTGGCCCTATCATCCATCAGAGTCCACCTGGCAGCCATCTTGGCCTTCCACCCTCCGCTCTGCGGGAAATCCGACTTCTTGCATGAGATGATGGTCAAGTTCCTTAAAGGTCTGGAAAGGCTCCGCCGTCAGGTCCATGACCCAATTCCCCCGTGGGACCTGAGTCTGGTGCTGTCAAAGCTGCTGGGGGGCCCCCTCTTCAAGCTGTTGGCATCTTGTTCCCAGCTTCTGCTGCTCATGGAAGGTGGCCTCCCAAAATCAGAGCCCCCACTTCTGATTGTCCTTTGAGGACAAGGTCTGTCTGTGTCCTAACCCAGCCTTCCTGATGAAGGTGGTGTCCCAGCTCCCTAACAACCGGGACATTTTTCTGCCTGTCTTCTTCCTCGGGATTCGGCTGAGGAACGTTGCTGTCAACGCAGCTCTTTGGTGGCAGACAGGACAAAGGGTCTGCTGGTGTCATCTCAGAGGATCACGGACTGGATACCCACCTGAAGCTGGGTATGTTACAGGTAGACAAACGTTTCCCTCGGGTCATTGTCACGGCTCGCTCTGCAAGGGCTTCGTCTGCAGCGTTCCTCGTGCCAGTATCAATCCAGGACATCTGCCGGGCCGCAGCGTGGGCATCGGTCCATCCCTTCGCAGCCCGCTATACCCTCACCCAGCAGGCCCAGGCGATGCTAGCGTTGGGAGAGGGGTCCGGGGACACTCTTTGGGAGTCACCTGTTGTGGAATGGATGGGAGCCAGCACTCGGAGAAAAGACGCTGACTGACCTTTGTAACTTGTTCTTCGAGATGTTGCTCACGTCCAGTCCGGACCCGCCCTCCATCCTCGCTGGCTCAGTCGCTGACGAGGAACTGAAGGGTACAGGGCTGGTGGGACCCCTTCTACGGGTGCATGAGCCCAGGGGTCCAGGGGGCACCAGGACTGGCCTCCAGGGTACCACTAGGGGAAAATCTCCAACCATGGTGCCTGTGGCACATGCCTAACATGGAACTGACACGAGCGTCACATCTGCAAGGTCGGTAACCACTTTCTCCTCGCCTCAAAGCGCGCCCAAGTGCCATTAACATTGGGCCGCCCCCTTCCCAGGCTTCAAAACCAGCGCACGCAAAATTCTAGAAAGGAGAAAAATGGGGGACTTTTTTGGTTGCTTTTCCCTGGGAGGATCTCTCACACGGCTTTGATATTTTTTTTTTAAAGTGGTATTTATTTTTTGAGGGTTCTAAGAATTAAGATTTCAGAGAATGGCAAAATTGTGACCATTCTTAGTCTTTTTGTTCTGTTTTTCCCAGGAGGTGGTGTCAGAAATATGAAAACGGGGAGGGGAGGGGTCGCTCTAATTGAACACTTTTTGAAGGGGGAAAACTGCTCTAGACATGAGAGAACAGGCCCCTTTATCCAGCTTTCGCCAGGCTAAAAACCTTGAAAAGGGGGGGGCACCATTTTTTGGTCACTTCCTTTTTCCTCTGCTTTTATCCGTTTTCTTTTTGCTTGGAAAATAAAAGAAGCAGAGAAACGGCGCTGGTCTTGGTTTGTAGGGCTCTGACTATAGCTGGAGGTTTTCAAAGGAAAAAGGAATAAATGAAACCTGCTACGAGGGAGGGGAACGGGCTGAGTTCTTAATTTTGGCCAGGTCAGCAGAGGAGAAGAGCAAATGTTTTCTCGCCTGATGCTGAAAAAATAATTTTTAGTGTGAAAAATGAGAGGTTTGATGAGCTGTTTTGTGGGGGGGTTGGATGGGGGCACAAGAAAAGGGGGTTGAGCCTCCTCGTGGGAAGGGGGCTTCAGATACCAGCCTGAGCCTCCCTCTAAGAATTGCTACAGCCTGGAGAAAGGTCGCCCTGGCCTAGTGAGGGGGAGACAAGTGGGGGAGGCCCCTGCCCCATACATGGGGGGGCACTCCAACCCCCCTGGCACCAGCTGCAGGAGGGAAGAACACTGGTGCTCTTTGACCCCCGTCTCTCTAGTGCTAAGCCCCACAACCTAGAATTCACTGCCCCACTCTGCCCCCCGGGCCTACCTGCCCTTATCTGCCCCACTGCAGGAGGGGCCCAGGGACTAGGGGAATAACATCCCTCCCCCAATTCCTCTGGTCCAAAGTACTAACCCCCCACCTCACTCCTAGATGGTCGCCTGGGGGCCATAAGGACATTAACAAAACTCTACCCCATAGTGCCCCTCACTCCTGACCCACGGCCCCTGCTAGCCTAGCCCTGCCCCCGACCCCAGCCCTCCTGGTGCCCCTCACCGGGGCGCAGGGTTCTTTGTAGTCCAGGGCTGAAGGCGGCCAGGGACTGTATCAATTCGGCTTTCACAAACTTTCCGGGTTTTGACTCCGGGGGGCCCAGCTGGGGATAAGAGGAGTGCTGGGAGGGCTGCCAAGGGAGTTGAGTGTCCCCCCGCTGGGTCACCCCTGTCCCCGCTCCCCATAAATCTCCCCCCCACACCCCACTTAAAAATTCCACAGCTCATTAAAAACAATCACATTTTCCGGTTCCCAGCCACCGCCGAGGGCAAGTGATGCTCGCCCGGAGCTGGGAAAAGGGGGGCAGGAGCGGCAGGGCTGGGCTATCGGGAGTGAGGGGCACCAGCAGGGCTGGGCTTGCAGGGTCGGTAGTGAGGGGTACCAGCTGGGCTCCCCAGGGCTGGGCTGGCAGGGGGCTAGCGGGGTCGGGAGTGAGGGGTACCAGCTGGGGGCCCCAGGGCTGGGCTGGCAGGGGGCTAGCGGGGTCGGGAGTGAGGGGTACCAGCTGGGGGCCCCAGGGCTGGGCTGGGCTGGCAGGGGGCTGCGGGTCGGGAGTGAGGGGCACCAGCTGGGGGCCCCAGGGCTGGGCTGGCAGGGGGCTGCGGGTCGGGAGTGAGGGGCACCGGCAGGGCTGGGCTAGCGGGGTCGGGAGTGAGGGGCACCAGCTGGGGGCCCCAGGGCTGGGCTGGCAGGGGGCTGCGGGTCGGGAGTGAGGGGCACCAGCTGGGGGCCCCAGGGCTGAGCTGGCAGGGGGCTGCGGGTCGGGAGTGAGGGGCACCAGCTGGGGGCCCCAGGGCTGGGCTGGCAGGGGGCTGCGGGTCGGGAGTGAGGGGCACCGGCAGGGCTGGGCTAGCGGGGTCGGGAGTGAGGGGCACCAGCTGGGGGCCCCAGGGCTGGGCTGGCAGGGGGCTAGCGGGGTCGGGAGTGAGGGGTACCAGCTGGGGGCCCCAGGGCTGGGCTGGCAGGGGGCTAGCGGGGTCGGGAGTGAGGGGTACCAGCTGGGGGCCCCAGGGCTGGGCTGGCAGGGGGCTGCGGGTCGGGAGTGAGGGGCACCAGCAGGGCTGCGGGGGGCAGAGGAAGACTCGGAAGGGGGTTGGGGGGTCTCTTATCTCTCCCCCGCAGCAGGCGGCTCCGGGGGCCGGAGGGAAGGAGGCGGGCGGAGGGGTGCGGGGGGGCAGGACTCAGCTCCGTCTCCGCATCCTTCGCTCGTGTCCAGGCAGCGGCTCCCGCTCCTCTCCCGTCCCCCCCGCCCCGGTTCCTGCCCTCGCTCCCCCCACCGACCCAGGGTCCCCCAGGCCCAGGTAAGTCCCTGGGGGGCGTCTGTGGGTGTTGGAGAGCGGGGACGGGGGTCCCCCCGAATCTCCTTCCCCCACTTCCACATTCCCCTGGTGTCTCTTCAGTGCCGGGGGGGAACCTGCGGGAGGATTGGGGGGTCAGGGGAGCTTAGGGGCTCAGTGGGGGGATCTGGGCTGGGGGGAAAGTGGGGAGCGCGGGGCCGGGGGGTCTGGGAGAGCGCGGGGAGGTAAATGCGGGAGATCGAGGTGGGGGGGCCCAGGGACTGGGGGGGAGTCAGGAGGTGGGGCCCAGTCTGGGGGGTCGGAGTCGGGGGGTGTAGGCTGGGAGCTGTTTGTGTTTCTCCCTCCTTGTCTCTTCCTCCTTCCCTCTCTCCAACCCCCCCGATAGGGTGTCTGGGATGGGGGAACCCGGGGGGGCAACGGCTCCCCCCTTCTTTTGTCCGACGGGTGCGTCCGGAGACATTAAATATTGACTGCGACAATCGCAATGGCGGGGGAGGGGACGGGGGGGGGGGCGCGGGGATCTTCTCCGTCTGTCTCCAGCGGCTCCGACCCTCATTAGCCATTTCGGTCACGCAGCTCGGCTGTAAATCTGCCTCCAGACCCACGGTGCCCCTCACTCCCGACCTGCAGCCCCTCCCCCCCCGGCTCTGCCCCCCCCCCAAGATCTGCCGGTGCCCCTCACTCCCGACCTGCAGCCCCTGCCCCCCACCCAGATCTCCTGACCCACAGCCCCCAGCTCTGTTGAATTCTCTGCTGAGCCCTGGAAGCTCATCACACTGGACGCTGGTTTCTCTGCCCCCTTTGCTCACCCCTTGTGCCCCCCCCCCCACCTGCTCACGGTGGATTTTATGACATCTCAGTGCTTGGAGGGGGAGGGGCTCTAGGGTGTCTCCCTCCATAGCTGAGCCCCGTGTCCCTCCAGGTGCCCCCCGATGGGGTAGCTGGGTGGGGGCCCATGGGCAGTGCCCCCCGCAGGAGGCGGCGTGAGTGGGCAACATGCCCAGCATCCTGGGGCTCCTGCTGACCTGGCTGGGGGGCTATGGCTGCGCCGGATGCCTGGGTCCCCCCGGCCGGGCTCCCGGGGGGCCCCAACCCAGGGCTGGGAGCGCCCCCTGCTGAGATCTCGACGTAGCTGGGTCTGGAACCAATTCTTCGTCATCGAGGAGTATGCCGGCCCCGAGCCTGTCCTCATCGGCAGAGTGAGTGCCCGAACACCTGGGTCCCGTGGGTGGGGGGAGGGCCTGGAAATCTGGGTCCCGTGGGCATGGGGAGAGCCTGGACACCTGGGTATTCTGGAAGGGATGAGCCCTGGGGTCTAGTGGTTAGAGCGGGGGTGGAGCTGGAAGCCAGGATTCCTGGGTTCTCTGCCTGGATCTGGGAAGGGAGCAGGTCCTTCAGAGGGCTGCAAGCCCGGACGCCTGGGTCCATGCGCCCCTCTCCCCACAGCTGCACTCGGACGTGGACCGGGGCGAGGGGCAGATCAAGTATGTGCTCACGGGCGAAGGGGCCGGGACGGTGTTTGTGATCGACGAGCGGACGGGGAACGTGCTCGTGACCAAGACCCTGGACCGGGAGGAGAAGGCCCAATACACGCTGCTGGCCCAGGCCGTGGACCAGGCCTCAAACCGGCCCCTGGAGCCGCCCTCCGAGTTCATCATCAAAGTGCAGGACGTCAACGACCACCCGCCCGTCTGCCCGCGCGGCCCCTACCATGCCACTGCGCCCGAGATGAGCAGCGTGGGTGAGTGCCCGCCCTGCCCCAGCCTGCCAGTGCCCCTCACTCCCGACCCGCAGCCCACCCCCCTCACTGCGCCCGAGATGAGCAGCGTGGGTGAGCGCCCGCCCTGCCCCAGCCTGCCAGTGCCCCTCACTCCCGACCCGCAGCCCACCCCCTCACTGCGCCCGAGATGAGCAGCGTGGGTGAGCGCCCGCCCTGCCCCAGCCTGCCAGTGCCCCTCACTCCCGACCCGCAGCCCACCCCCTCACTGCGCCCGAGATGAGCAGCGTGGGTGAGTGCGGCCACCCTGCCCCAGCCTGCCAGTGCCCCCTCACTCCCGACCCGCAGCCCACCCCCCCTCACTGCGCCCGAGATGAGCAGCGTGGGTGAGTGCGCCCACCCTGCCCCAGCCTGCCAGTGCCCCTCACTCCCGACCCGCAGCCCACCCCCCTCACTGCGCCCGAGATGAGCAGCGTGGGTGAGCGCCCGCCCTGCCCCAGCCTGCCAGTGCCCCTCACTCCCGACCCGCAGCCCACCCCCTCACTGCGCCCAAGATGAGCAGCGTGGGTGAGCGCCCGCCCTGCCCCAGCCTGCCAGTGCCCCTCACTCCCGACCCGCAGCCCACCCCCCCCTCACTGCGCCCGAGATGAGCAGCGTGGGTGAGTGCGCCCACCCTGCCCCAGCCTGCCAGTGCCCCTCACTCCCGACCCGCAGCCCACCCCCCCTCACTGCGCCCAAGATGAGCAGCGTGGGTGAGCGCCCGCCCTGCCCCAGCCTGCCAGTGCCCCTCACTCCCGACCCGCAGCCCACCCCCCTCACTGCGCCCGAGATGAGCAGCGTGGGTGAGTGCGCCCACCCTGCCCCAGCCTGCCAGTGCCCCTCACTCCCGACCCGCAGCCCACCCCCTCACTGCGCCCAAGATGAGCAGCGTGGGTGAGCGCCCGCCCTGCCCCAGCCTGCCGGTGCCCCTCACTCCCGACCCGCAGCCCACCCCCCCTCACTGCGCCCGAGATGAGCAGCGTGGGTGAGTGCCCGCCCTGCCCCAGCCTGCCGGTGCCCCTCACTCCCGACCCGCAGCCCACCCCCTCACTGCGCCCGAGATGAGCAGCGTGGGTGAGCGCCCGCCCTGCCCCAGCCTGCCGGTGCCCCTCACTCCCGACCCGCAGCCCACCCCCTCACTGCGCCCGAGATGAGCAGCGTGGGTGAGTGCGCCCACCCTGCCCCAGCCTGCCAGTGCCCCTCACTCCCGACCCGCAGCCCACCCCCTCACTGCGCCCAAGATGAGCAGCGTGGGTGAGCGCCCGCCCTGCCCCAGCCTGCCAGTGCCCCTCACTCCCGACCCGCAGCCCCCCCCCCCTCACTGCGCCCGAGATGAGCAGCGTGGGTGAGCGCCCGCCCTGCCCCAGCCTGCCAGTGCCCCTCACTCCCGACCCGCAGCCCACCCCCCCTCACTGCGCCCGAGATGAGCAGCGTGGGTGAGCGCCCGCCCTGCCCCAGCCTGCCAGTGCCCCTCACTCCCGACCCGCAGCCCACCCCCCCTCACTGCGCCCGAGATGAGCAGCGTGGGTGAGTGCGCCCACCCTGCCCCAGCCTGCCAGTGCCCCTCACTCCCGACCCGCAGCCCACCCCCCTCACTGCGCCCGAGATGAGCAGCGTGGGTGAGTGCGCCCACCCTGCCCCAGCCTGCCAGTGCCCCTCACTCCCGACCCGCAGCCCACCCCCCTCACTGCGCCCAAGATGAGCAGCGTGGGTGAGCGCCCGCCCTGCCCCAGCCTGCCAGTGCCCCTCACTCCCGACCCGCAGCCCACCCCCCCCCTCACTGCGCCCGAGATGAGCAGCGTGGGTGAGTGCGCCCACCCTGCCCCAGCCTGCCAGTGCCCCTCACTCCCGACCCGCAGCCCACCCCCCCTCACTGCGCCCGAGATGAGCAGCGTGGGTGAGCGCCCGCCCTGCCCCAGCCTGCCAGTGCCCCTCACTCCCGACCCGCAGCCCACCCCCCTCACTGCGCCCGAGATGAGCAGCGTGGGTGAGTGCGCCCACCCTGCCCCAGCCTGCCAGTGCCCCTCACTCCCGACCCGCAGCCCACCCCCCTCACTGCGCCCGAGATGAGCAGCGTGGGTGAGCGCCCGCCCTGCCCCAGCCTGCCAGTGCCCCTCACTCCCCGACCCGCAGCCCACCCCCCCTCACTGCGCCCGAGATGAGCAGCGTGGGTGAGTGCCCGCCCTGCCCCAGCCTGCCGGTGCCCCTCACTCCCGACCCGCAGCCCACCCCCTCACTGCGCCCGAGATGAGCAGCGTGGGTGAGTGCGCCCACCCTGCCCCAGCCTGCCAGTGCCCCTCACTCCCGACCCGCAGCCCACCCCCCCTCACTGCGCCCGAGATGAGCAGCGTGGGTGAGCGCCCGCCCTGCCCCAGCCTGCCGGTGCCCCTCACTCCCGACCCGCAGCCCACCCCCTCACTGCGCCCAAGATGAGCAGCGTGGGTGAGTGCCCGCCCTGCCCCAGCCTGCCGGTGCCCCTCACTCCCGACCCGCAGCCCACCCCCTCACTGCGCTCTCCCCCCAGGGACATCCGTGATCCAGGTGACGGCCCAGGACGCCCATGACCCGAGCTCTGGGAATAGCTCCAAGCTGGTGCACATGGTGCTGGAGGGGCCCCTCCTCCTCCATCGCCCCCCGACCGGTGCGGGCAGACGCCGCCCGGAGGGGGGGGCGGGCTGCAGCCTGTGGGGGCTGGGATGCAGGTGGACCATGTAGGGTTGGTGTTGGTTGCGGGGGAGGAAGTGGGGGGGGGTGATGTGGGGCCCCAGTTTGTCCGTCTCCCATCCCCTGAGTGTCTGTGCCCCCTGCCCCCTCCAACCCACCTGCCCCTGCCCATGGCTTCTGTGGCCTCCATCTGCGTGTCTTTGAGTGTCCTCCCTCAGAGCATACGTCCATCGCCCCGTCCCTCCCTCCGTCCACCCATCCCTCCCTCCGTCCACCCGTCCGTCTGTCTGTCCACCCATCCCTCCATCCGTCCACCCATCCATCGCCTCTTCCACTCATCCGTCCCTCCATCCACCCGTCCCTCCCTCCATCCATCTGTCCGTCTGTCCGTCCACCCGTCCCTCCCTCCGTCCACCCATCCATCGCCTCGTCCACTCATCCGTCCACCCGTCCCTCCCTCTTTCCCTCCGTCCGTCTGTCCGTCCACCCGTCCATCCCTCCATCCACTCGTCCCTCCATCCGTCCCTCCCTCTGTCCATCCCTCCCTCCCTCCGTCCACCCGTCCATCGCCTCTTCCACTCATCCGTCCATCCATCCACCTGTCCCTCCGTCTATCCTTCCCTCCATCCACCCGTCCCTCCCTCCATCCATCTGTCCGTCTGTCCGTCCATCCGTCCCTCCCTCCGTCCACCCGTCCCTCCCTCCGTCCACCCGTCCGTCTGTCTGTCCACCCATCCCTCCATCCATCCACCCATCCGTCTATCCGTCCACCCATCCATCGCCTCGTCCACTCATCCGTCCACTCGTCCCTCCCTCCGTCCACCCGTCCCTCCCTCCGTCCACCCGTCCGTCTGTCTGTCCACCCGTCCCTCCATCCGTCCACCCATCCATCACCTCTTCCACTCATCCGTCCCTCCATCCACCCGTCCCTCCCTCCATCCATCTGTCCGTCTGTCCGTCCACCCGTCCCTCCCTCCGTCCACCCATCCATCGCCTCGTCCACTCATCCGTCCACTCGTCCCTCCCTCCGTCCACCCGTCCCTCCCTCCGTCCACCCGTCCGTCTGTCTGTCCACCCGTCCCTCCCTCCGTCCACCCGTCCGTCTGTCTGTCCACCCGTCCCTCCATCCATCCACCCATCCGTCTATCCGTCCACCCATCCATCGCCTCGTCCACTCATCCGTCCACCCGTCCCTCCCTCCATCCACCCGTCCCTCCCTCCGTCCACCCGTCCGTCTGTCTGTCCACCCGTCCCTCCATCCGTCCACCCATCCATCGCCTCTTCCACTCATCCGTCCCTCCATCCACCCGTCCCTCCCTCCATCCATCTGTCCGTCCACCCGTCCCTCCATCCGTCCACCCATCCATCGCCTCGTCCACTCATCCGTCCACCCGTCCCTCCCTCTTTCCCTCCGTCCGTCTGTCCGTCCACCCGTCCATCCCTCCATCCACTCGTCCCTCCATCCGTCCCTCCCTCTGTCCATCCCTCCCTCCCTCCATCCACCCGTCCCTCCCTCCATCCATCTGTCCGTCTGTCTGTCCACCCGTCCCTCCATCCGTCCACCCATCCATTGCCTCGTCCACTCATCCGTCCATCCATCCACCTGTCCCTCCGTCTATCCTTCCCTCCATTCACCCGTCCCTCCCTCCATCCATCTGTCCGTCCATCCGTCCCTCCATCCGTCCACCCATCCATTGCCTCGTCCACTCATCCATCCATCCGTCCACCCGTCCCTCCCTCTTTCCCTCCGTCCGTCTGTCCGTCCACCCGTCCATCCCTCCATCCACTCGTCCCTCCATCTGTCCGTCCGTCTGTCCACCCGTCCCTCCATCTGTCCACCTGTCCCTCGGTCCATCTATTCCATCCACCCATCCCTCCTCCATCCCTCTGTCCATCCACCTGTCTGCCCCTCCATCCGTCTGTCTGTCCATCCGTCCACCCGTCCATTCCTCCATCCGTCCGTCTGTCTGTCCATCTCTACATCCGTCCACCCACCCACCCGTCCATTGCCCCCTTGGTCTCTGACTGCCCCCTCTCTCCCGTGGCAGGCGTGGTGTGCACCGCGATCCCCAACATGGACCGGGAGGCACAGGCCGAGCTGCTGGTGGTGATCCAGGCCAAGGACATGGGGGGCCAGGCCGGGGGGCTGTTGGGGAGTGTCACTGTCACCCTGAGCGACGTCAATGACAACCCACCCAAGTTCCCCCAGAGTGAGAGACCCTCTGCCCCGCCCGGGTCCTCTGCCGCCCCTGCCCCTCCTCCACACCCCTTGACTCCCTCTCCTGCCCTGCTCATGTACTCAGCCCCCTGGCCCCCCACCCCCATGCCCCCTTTTCTCCCTCAGCCCCGGGACCCAGCCTCACATATCACCCCCCACCCTGTATCCCCAAGCTGCTGTGCCCCCCAACCCTCTCTACCCCCACCCCATTTCCCCAACCTCCCCACCCCCGAAACCACAACTCCTGTGCCCCATGCCCCTCCTTTGGCCCTTAACTCCCCCCCCATCGCCCCTCACTTCCCCTTCCCTCCCCCTTTCACCTTCCTTCAGTTTACTGGGGGGGGACTGGGTGTGTGTGGGCTCCCAGCAGAGGGGTGCTATGGGGTGCAGGGGGTGCTGGCTATGGGGGGCTCCCAGCGGAGGGGGGCTATGGGGTGCAGTGGGTGCTTGCTATGGGGGGGCTCCCAGCGGAGGGGCACTAGGGGGTGCAGGGGGGTGCTGGCTATGGGGGGCTCCCAGCGGAGGGGCGCTAGGGGGTGCAGGGGGTGCTGGGTATGGGGGGCTCCCAGCGGAGGGGGGCTAGGGGGTGCAGGGGGTGCTGGGTATGGGGGGCTCCCAGTGGGGGGCGCTAGGGGGTGCAGGGGGGGTGCTGGGTATGGGGGGCTCCCAGCAGAGGGGGGCTATGGGGTGCAATGGGTGCTTGCTATGGGGGGGGCTCCCAGTGGGGGGCGCTATGGGGTGCAGGGGGTGCTGGCTATGGGGGGCTCCCAGCGGAGGGGGCTAGGGGGTGCAATGGGTGCTGGCTATGGGGGGCTCCCAGCGGAGGGATGCTATGGGGTGCAGGGGGTGCTGGCTATGGGGGGCTCCCAGCGGAGGGGGGCTATGGGGTGCAGGGGGGTGCTGGGTATGGGGGGCTCCCAGCGGAGGGGGCTATGGGGTGCTGGGTATGGGGGGCTCCCAGCGGAGGGACGCTATGGGGTGCAGGGGGGTGCTGGGTATGGGGGGCTCCCAGCAGAGGGGCGCTAGTGGGTGCAGGGGGGTGCTGGGTATGGGGGGCTCCCAGCGGAGGGGGGCTATGCGGTGCAGGGGGGTGCTGGGTATGGGGGGCTCCCAGCGGAGGGGGGCTATGGGGTGCTGGGTATGGGGGGCTCCCAGCGGAGGGACGCTATGGGGTGCAGGGGGGTGCTGGGTATGGGGGGCTCCCAGCAGAGGGGCGCTAGTGGGTGCAGGGGGGTGCTGGCTATGGGGGGCTCCCAGCGGAGGGGCGCTAGGGGGGTGCAGGGGGTGCTGGGTATGGGGGGCTCCCAGCGGAGGGGGGCTATGGGGTGCAGGGGGTGCTGGCTATGGGGGGCTCCCAGCGGAGGGGGGCTATGGGGTGCAGGGGGTGCTGGCTTTGGGGGGCTCCCAGTGGGGGGCGCTATGGGGTGCAGGGTGTGCTGGCTATGGGGGGCTGCGGAGGGGGGCTAGGGGGGGAGGGGGGTGTGGGTATGGGGGGCTCCCAGCGGAGGGGGGCTATGGGGTGCAGGGGGTGCTGGGTATGGGGGGCTCCCAGCGGAGGGGGGCTATGGGGTGCAGGGGGTGCTGGCTATGGGGGGCTCCCAGCGGAGGGGGGCTATGGGGTGCAGGGGGTGCTGGCTATGGGGGGCTCCCAGCGGAGGGGGGCTATGGGGTGCAGGGGGTGCTGGCTATGGGGGGCTCCCAGTGGGGGGCGCTATGGGGTGCAGGGGGTGCTGGCTATGGGGGGCTCCCAGCGGAGGGGGGCTATGGGGTGCAGGGGGTGCTGGCTATGGGGGGCTCCCAGCGGAGGGGGGCTATGGGGTGCAGGGGGTGCTGGCTTTGGGGGGCTCCCCCGTGGGGCGGCTCCGGGCCCACGATCCGGACGAGGGGCAACGCGAGGCTCCAGTACCGGCTGCTGGACGGGGATGGGCCCTTCGCCATCAGCACCGACCCGCTGGGCCGGGCCGGCCTCCTCACCCTCAGCCAGGCGCCCCACCCGGACACCTGAGTCCCCGCGAGCCTCCCCTGCCCTTCCCTAGACCCTGGGGTCCCATCCAGCTACCCGCCCCCCCGCCCCAAGGTCCTGCCGCCCTACCCAGACCCATCCCGCCTGGACACCAGGGTCCCTCCATGGCTACGTGTCTTGCTGCCCCCTTTCCCTACCCCCCTTCCTGGATGCCTGGGTCCCTTTGCCATTCAGCTTCCCAATGCCCTCTTTCCCAGGCTGGGATCCTCCCCTCGGGGCCAACTGCTAACCCCCCCGTTCCGCCCCCGAGCCCGGCTGCTGACGCCCCCTGTCACGGGGTGCCCGGGCGATGCCTGGGACTGTTCCCGACGAAGCCAGGCAGGACTCTGGGGGAGCCTCCTCTCGGGGCGCAGCCTGTCTGCAGGACACACAGCTCCCCCGGCTCCACCTTCCTGGGTCTGACCCCAGAGCATTCAGCATCCTCTGCCCCACCGTGCGCTTCCCCCAGTGAGTCCGCCCAGGCGGGGTCCTGGGGGGCAGAGGGTCCTGCCCCCCAACTCCACAGTCAGACGTGACTCTCAGCCAGCCGGTAAAACAGAAGGTTTATTAGACGACAGGAACAGGAGCCAAAACAGAGCTTGTAGGTACAGGAAACTGGAGCCCGAAGTCAGGTCCATCTTGGTGCCAAAGAGGCCAGAGCCCCGTCTGGGCCCCGCTCCATTTCCCCAGCCAGCTCCAAACTCCATTTCTCCAGCCCCTCCTCTGGCCTTTGTCTCTTTCCCGGGCCAGGAGGCCACCTGATCTCTGTGTTCTCCAACCCCTTCAGTTGGCTCCTTGCAGGGGAGGCCCCAGGCCATCAGTGGCCAGGAGACGGGGTGTCGGCCATTCTCTGTGCAGACAGCATCACGCTGGCCCACTAGGGCTCTGCAGCAATCACACCCCCTTATCCCACCCCCGAGATACTTCAGAACTGCATAGGGGAAACTGAGGCACCTACACCGTATTCCGAGAGAACATTAAGAACAGTCCCACTTCGTCACACCCCCATCTCCCCCAGAGACTGACTGCTAACCCCCTCCTCTTCCCCCCACCCTGTCTTCCCCCAGCCGCTGGACTTCGAGCAGCGCCCAGCATACACCCTGCGGGTGGAGGCGGCCAACACACAGGTTGACCCACTGTACATCCGCCAGGGGCCCTTCAAGGACGTGGCCGCCGTGGAGGACACAGCCGAGCCCCCAGCCTTCGCCTGGCCCAGCTACCAGCTGGGTGTGCCCGAGGACAGCCCCCCGGCACCGTGGTGGGGAAGATCACAGCCTCCAACCTGGACATGCCCAGCAGCGCCATCCGGTACCAGCCACACCCTGCAGGGGGCACTGGGGGTGGTGGCCATGTGGGGAGCTCCCAGCAGGAGGCACCGTGGGGCACACGGAGCCAGTGGCTGTGGGGGGAGCTCCCAGCAGGGGGTGCCGTGGGGCATGGGAGGTGCTGGCCGGGGGGAAGCTCCCAGCAGGGGGTGCCGTGGGGAGAGTTCCCAGCAGGCGGCACCGTGGGGCACGGGGAGGTGCTGGCCGGGGGGAAACTCCCAGCTGGGGGTGCCGTGGGGCACGGGGAGGCGCTAGCCGTGGGGAGAGTGCCCAGCAGGGGGTGCCTTGGGGTACGGGGAGGCGCTGGCCGTGGGGAGAGTGCCCAGCAGGGGGTGCCTTGGGGCATGGGGAGGCGCTGACCGTGGGGAGAGTGCCCAGCAGGGGGTGCCGTGGGGCACGGGGAGGTGCTGGGCGTGGGGAGAGCTCCCAGCAGGGGGCACCGTGAGGCACGGGGAGGTGCTGGCCGTGGGAGAGCCCCCTGACCCACCCCGATCTCTTGCTGCTCCCCCAGATACTCCATCCTGCCCCACTCAGACCCCGGGCGGTATTTCAGCATCAGCCCCCAGGACGGGACCCTCCGCACGGCCCTGCCCCTCGACAGGGAGACGCTGGCCTGGCACAACATAACTGTGGTGGCCACTGAACTAGGTAAGGGGGGGCCCAGCCGGAGGCAGCTGCCCAGGGGGGCTGACACCACTGGGGGAGGGGGGGTGGTCTATGGGGGCCCAGTGGGGGGCAGCTGCCCTTGCAGGGGGTGCTGACAGTTCTGGTTTGCCTTAGTATGTATTCACCAGCCTTTTCTCCCCCTCTGTGTCTGCGTGTTGGTGGGATGGTGTTTGCATGTTGTTGGCGTGTTCTTTGTGTGTTGGTGGCCTGTGGGCTCCGTACTCGCCCTGGTGTTTGGCCTGTGGCAGTGTGTGGGCTGTGTGTGCGTCGTGTATCGGGCATGGCTGCCCCGTGGGCTGCGTGTTGGTTGCGTGTGGCCCCGGCTCTGGGCGTGGTTTGCGTGTGGGCTATGTGTTGGCTGGCTGGTGGCTGGCCCTGGATTGCATGTGGGCTTTGCGTGGTGGCGGCATATTGCTGATGCTCTGGGACTCGTGCACGGCTTGTGCATCGTTGGCTGCGTGTGGACTGACACGGGCTTTGCACATGGGCTGCATGTTCTGTGTTGGCGGCATGTGTGCTGGTGTTGCTGTGGATCATGGCACGCTACCCGGCGCGTGGCGGGCGTGTCCCCGCGCGTGGCGGGCGTGTCTAGGTGTGGCGGGCGTGTCTCTGCGCGTGGCGGGCGTGTCTCTGCGCGTGGCGGGCGTGTCCCCGTGCGTGGCGGGCGTGTCCCCGTGTGTGGCGGGCGTGTCCCCGTGTGTGGCGGGCGTGTCTCTGCGCGTGGCGGGCGTGTCTCCGTGCGTGGCGGGCGTGTCTCTGCGCGTGGCGGGCGTGTCTCTGCGCGTGGCTGGCGTGTCCCCGCGCATGGCGGGCGTGTCTCTGCATGTGGCGGGCGTGTCCCCGTGCGTGGCGGGCGTGTCTCTGCGCGTGGCGGGCGTGTCCCCGCGCATGGCGGGCGTGTCTCTGCATGTGGCGGGCGTGTCCCCGTGCGTGGCGGGCGTGCCCCCCCTCGTGTCTGTGCTGGCCGCGTGCCCCTCCCCGTCTGTTGCTCCAGACAGCCCGGCGCGGGCTGCGCCCGTCCCTCTGGCTGTGCACGCCCTGGACGTGAATGACAACGTGCCCCAGCTGGCACCAGGGACTGAGCCCTTCATCTGTCACGGCACAGCGCCAGGCCAGGTGAGCGCCCGGATGCCTGGGTCCCTCCCTGCCGGGGCCGATGGGGGTGCAGTGGGGGTGGGGGCTGGGAGCCAGGATGCCTGGGTTCACGCTCTTCTCCTCCCACAGCTGATCCAGACCATCTGGGCGCGGGACCGGGACGACGGTGGGGCCGGGAGTCGGGTGACAATTCGCTCCCCCCCCGGGGCTGGGGCCCCCCAACATCACTGTGCGGGACAACGAGGGTCTGCTAACTGTCCCCCCCTCTGTCCCCCCACGCTGTCCTCTGTCCCCGGCCTTCCCAAAGTCCCCCCACTTCCCCACTCCTCCCCTGGCCCCCCACACTGTCCCCTTCCCCTCTGCTCACCACCCCTCCCCCAACCCCCTCACTTACTCTCTGCGTCTCCCCCCAGATGGTTCAGCCGCTCTCCTGCTCCAGGCCCTGTGGCTGCCCCCCCCCAGGTGGGCCCCCCCTGCTGGTGCCCCTGGAGCTGGTGGATGGGGGACGTCCCGCCCTGACGGGCACCCCCACCCTGACGCTGAGCATCTGCCAGTGCCGGCCCGATGGCAGCCTGCGCTCCTGCCAGCCCCCCCCCCGCTGCCCGTGCCCCCCCGGGCTCAGCACTGCTGCCCTGCTGGCCATCCTGGGCTGCGGCACCAGCCTGCTCGGTGAGGGGGGTGTGGGGTCTGGGGGGACGGGATGGGGGAGGGGCTCTGGGGGCCCGGCACTGACCCCCCTCCCCTCAGCGCTGGCGGGGCTCCTGGCCCGGGGGGCCCCAAGGCAGGCATGGATGGAGGAGAGGAACCGGGGGGACGGGCCAGGTGGCACCCAGATGGGGGGTATGGGAGGGCTGGGGGCAGGATAGGGGAGGGATGGCTGGGGTAGGAGGGCCTCTGGGGGCCCAGCACTGACCCCCCTCCCCCCAGCGCTGGCAGGGCTCCTGGCCTGGGGGCGCCCCAAGGGGGGGCGCGGGCAGCGCCGGCGGAGAGGGCAAGGTGTGCGAAAACATCATCAGCTACGGGGGGGGCGAGGCCGACACCCAGGCCTTCGACATGGCTGCCCTGCAGCGTCCACCCGCCCCCGGACTCCTCCCTGGCCCCCCCCGCCTGCCTCGCCGCCCGCCTGGGACGGGCCAACGCCGACCCCCGGGCCCCCCCACGACTCGCTGCAGGTCTACGGCTACGACGGGGGGGGACACGCCCTGCGGCAGCCTCAGCCCCCTGGGCTCCTCCTGGGGGGCAGCGAGGGGGAGGGGGGCAACCCTGGTGAGTGGGGGCCCCTCTTTTGCACTGTGGCCGAGCTCTATGGGGGCCAAGAGGGGCCCGCCTGAGGCCACGCCCACCTCCCAGCCACTCCTGAGAGGCCACGCCCCTCCCTCTGGGTCATGCCAGCATGGCCACGCCCACCTCCAGCCATGCCCGGGGCATGCCACTTGACCACGCCCACTTCCTGACCACACCTGCAAGGCCACGCCCCCCTCCCTGTAGGTCATACCAGCAAGGCCATGCCCACCTCCTGGCCACACCAGTGAGGCCACGCCCACCGCCAGGCCATGCCATGGCCACTCCTGCAGGCCCACAACACTCTCCTAGCCACGCCCCCAAGCAGGCCACTCCCACTTCCAGCCACACCCCCTTCTCAGCCCCCAAGGCATGGCCAGGGCCATGGGGGAGTGGCTACATCTGGCCATGGCACCCACCCCTCCCCTGCTCCGCCCTGCCCCCTCTCAGTGCTTCGGCCCCATGGCCTCCCCCGCCCCAGCTCGGCCTTTGTCCTGTGTTCGCCCCCATGGCCATTCGCCCACTGTGACTGACCGTGACCCCCCGCCCCCGATTAATGCCTTATCCAGCCCCCCCATCAGGCTGAGACCCCCACCGTCGCATCCTGCCGCCGCCCCCAGCCAGGAGAGCCCCAAGAAATCCCAGGGGATGAGGGCGTGGGCTGGACCCCACAGATCTAGGAACTTCCCTGATCCACCAGACCCCTGCCCCCCCCCAAGCCACCAGACCCCTTGACCACCCTTGGATTCTGCTCTGGGACTTTTAATCCCACTGGATACTGCGGGGGGGGGGTGCCATTGTGTAGGGTGGGAGGGACGTACGATTGTGTTCGAGAAGAGGGGGAAGTGTCCATGTTATAATTTCGTAATAAACACTTTATTTTGTAAACTACAAACCTCTGCCTCATTGCGGGGCCCAAATGCCTGGGGTCCCTCCCGGCTCCGGGAGGGGAGTAGGGTCTGGTGGTTCAAGCTGGGGGAAGGGTTGGGAGGCAGGACTCCTGGGTTCATGCAGGGCCCCGGGGGCGGATGCTATAATGACTGATCTGCCCAAGTGTCTTTGTCTCCAATTTAATTTCTATGTAAATGAGAAGGGGAGGGGGGCCAGCAGGACCCCCCCAACAGTAGCAAAGAAGGGTGGGGGCACTGCTCCGCTGGCCCTTCCCCCTCCCTCGCTCTGCTGGAGCATGAAGGACCTGCTAATGGGGCCTCCGTGAACACTGGGGTCCCCCCAGACATATGGGGAGGGGGTTCAGCACGGGCTGGTGGGACAGAGCAGAGCAATGGGGGAAAGAGGGGAGCAAGAGATGGTGGGTCAATGTGAGAGCCAGAGGGAGGGAGTGGGGCAGGGACAGAGGGATGAAGGGAGTGGGGCAGGATGGAAGGAGTCGGGCAGGGACAGGGGGATGGAGGGAGTGGGGCAGGATGGAAGGAGTCGGGCAGGGACAGGGGGATGGAGGGAGTGGGGCTGGACGGAAGGAGTGGGGCAGGGACGGAGGAAGTGGGTCAGGGACAGAGGGACGGAGGGAGTGGGGCTGGACGGAAGGAGTGGGGCAGGGACCGAGGGACGGAGGGAGCAGGGCTGGACGGAAGGAGTGGGGCAGGGACAGAAGGAGTGGGGCAGGGACAGAGGGACAGAGGGAGTGGGGCTGGACGGAAGGAGTGGGGCAGGGACGGAGGGAGCAGGGCTGGACGGAAGGAGTGGGGCAGGGACAGAAGGAGTGGGGCAGGGAGCGAGGGATGGAGGGAGTGGGGCTGGACGGAAGGAGTGGGGCAGGGACCGAGGGACGGAGGAAGTGGGGCTGGACGGAAGGAGTGGGGCAGGGACGGAGGAAGTGGGGCAGGGACAGAGGGACGGAGGGAGTGGGGCTGGACGGAAGGAGTGGGGCAGGGACCGAGGGACGGAGGGAGCAGGGCTGGACGGAAGGAGTGGGGCAGGGACGGAGGAAGTGGGGCAGGGACAGAGGGACGGAGGGAGTGGGGCTGGACGGAAGGAGTGGGGCAGGGACCGAGGGACGGAGGGAGCAGGGCTGGACGGAAGGAGTGGGGCAGGGACAGAAGGAGTGGGGCAGGGAACGAGGGACGGAGGGACAAAGACGGGGCGGGCAGCTGGCTGCGTGGCAGGGCCGTGGGGCAGTGCAGTCGGAGGGGGAGCGAAGCAGCCGAGCGGAAGGAGGAGTCGGGGGGAGCCCAGACCCTGCCGCCCCCGGACCCCAGTTCAGATCAGGGAGTGACATGCCCAGGGCGTGGCTGGAATAACACCCCCCAGCAGCCGGGCGCGTGGGGCTCCCAGTTACTCCAGTCCCAGCCTCGCCTGCAGGGGGTGCTGTGGGGCGGGGGATGGAGGGCTGGTGCCAGATGGGGAGATAAACATGGAAACCCCCCCCCCACATACATCTCGGCCCCCAGATACCGCGCTGCCCGGCCACAGCCGCGTTTATTGCTCATCTGCTGCTTTATTCCAGTTCCGGCCAGAGCCGCCTGCGCCCAGGGCCCGCTGCTTGGGCGGTCCCAGGGGGTCCGGCAGGGTGGGCTGGTGACGCCCGGGGCCTGCTGCTTCGCGGGAGGCCAGGCTGGGTTACGCCGGTCCGGCGCGGGGCTGCTGGAGCGGGGTGGGTCCAAGCCGGGTGTAGACACGGTGCCCGGCTGTTTTGCGCTGCTCTGAGCCACGTCGTGCTGCTGAGCGCTGGGCCGCGCCGATTCATAATGCTCCAAGTCCGTTTATCCTGGTATAGACGGGCTAATGATGCTCCAGGCTGGTTCCTGCTGGTTTATACTGGTCCACACTGGTCTGTTCTGCTCCCTCCTCCTCCTCGGTGGGCCCCGGTGCCCGGGCCAGGCCCCCCAGCTCCCCCACGTCGCCGCGGGACACCCAGACCCAGCCGCTCTGGCGCACGTGGAAGACGTCGACGCAGCCCCCGGAGTAGGCGTCGCGGCGGGCGGCGTGGGCCACGGCGCGGCGGGCGAGGGCGTAGGCGGCGGCGGGCGGCATGTCAGGGCGGTAGGCCCCGTCCAGCAGCCCGTAGGCGTAGGGCGAGCCGGAGCCCACGGCCACCAGGTCCAGGGGCAGGCGGGTGCCGTCGCTGTGGACGTACCAGAGGCCGGGGCCGGCGCGGTCCCAGCCACAAAGCGCCACGGCCACGCCCAGCCCGCGCCCCCGCCACGCCCGCAGCCCGCCCGCCAGCAGCGCCGCCGCCTCGGCCACGCCCGGCTCCCGCCCGTCCTCCTGGCAGCGCAGGGCCAGCTGGCAGCGCAGGGCCCGCAGCCACGTGGCGCAGTCGGCCGAGGTCCCCGAGGTGGTGGCCAGCAGCCGGGCGTGGACGGGCAGCACCTTGCGGGAGGCCGGGCAGGCCACGTAGGTGCCGCAGGACGAGCGGGTGTCAGCTGCTGCCACCACGCCCTGGGCCAGCCGGAAGGCCAGCGTGGTGGTGCCATGGGGCAGGGGGCAGGGGGTGTCAGCAGGCACCGGGCAGGGGGGTGGCAGGGGCCACGGGGGCGGCGGGGGGGCGGGGCCCGCAGCACAGTAAGTCCTGCAGAGCCATGGGACAGCCAGGAGAGTGGGGCGGGGAGGGAGGGTACCAGCAAATATAGGGGGACGGGGGAGGGGAATGTCGCTGGGGGGAGGGGAGACAGTGTCATTGGGGCAGGAGAGAGTGGGGGGGAGGGGGAGCAGCGCTGGGCGGGAGGGAGCCCCCCGGTCGGTCTCTGATTCCCCCCCCACCCAGACGCTGCCTTGTCAGCTCCTGTCACGCTCCATTGCTCAGCCCGGCGTCCCCCACCCCCACGCCGCGTCCCCTGCCCAGAGCTGGGGGCAGAGAGAGACGCACAGGGGATGTGTCAGGTAACAGCACCGGACCCCTCGCCCCACACCTACCAGGGCTGGGGGGGCCGCGGGGGAAATGGGGGTGTCTCCATGCTCAGGAGGGGAGTGGCAGCACACACACCCGAGGTGGGGAGGGGGTTGCACGCGCACAAGGGGCTTTGCACTCGCACAAGGACTTTTGCACGGTCTCAGCGGGGCTTTGCATGCCCAAGGCGTTTGGAGGGTCGGGGGGAATTGGCACACCTGCCGTCTGCTTTCCACGGGCCCGGGTACTTGGCACACCCAAAGGCATACGGCCAGGTGCAAGGGGTTCTGTACAAATGGGGTGGGGATGCACTCAGAGGAATTGTACATGGGGCATGGCAGAGCACTTTGCACACTCAGAGGGGATTGTGCACATGCATGTGGGGGCTGGTGTGTTTTGATCCATACAAGGGGTAGCTTGCACACAGAGACAGGGGAGCCTGAGAGGGGGGCTGCACCTGCATAGGGAGCCACTGGCTGCCGTGCAAAGGGGGCTGGCCCAGCCCCAGGCATTTTGCACACTTGAGTTGGGGTTGTACACACACATGTTGACGGGCAAGGAGCCACCCTTACACACCGGGCATTTTCGTGCACATCAGGGGCAGCTGACTCCAGCACAGGGCTTTGTTTTACCCCCACCTCTCCAAGAAGGTTTGAGGGAGTTGCATGCTCTGGGGGGGAAGGGGGGGAAGTTGCACACAGAGACAGTAGCTTGCACATTCATGGGGCAATTTATAGGCTCCCAAGGGAATCTGCATATTGCAAAGGGATTTTCACACCCAGCAAGAGATTTGCATGCACACAAAGGGGTTTGCATAAATGAAAAGGGGGAGTTGTGCACTGGCAAAGAGGGGTTGCACAGTCAAGGGGGTGTTGCACACTCACAAAGGGGGTTGCACACACCCAGGAGCTTACCAATTTGCAAAAAGGGCTTGCACACTCATCAAGGGGGCTTGCACACTCCCAAATGGTTCCCACACTCCCAAAGGGGGATTTGCATGCTCCCGGGAGTTGCATGCTCACATGATGGGATGCACAAACATGCAGCAAAGAAGGGTTGCGCAGTCGAAAGGGTGTTGCACACTCACAATGGGGGTTGCACACTCATGTGGGCTGTTGCACACTCCCAGGTGGTTTGCACATTCACAAAGGGGCTTTGGACACTGGCCCCCAGAGGCTGCCAACTGATAAGTGAGTGTGCAGGGGGGGTTGCACTAGGGGTCTCAGGTGTCCAGTTTTGGACAGGAATACCTGCTGACCGGGCCATTAAGAGTCTGGTCAGTGTCACGGCAGGGCTAAGGCAGGCTCCCTGCCTGCCCTGGCCCCGCGTGGCTCCTGGAAGCAGCAGCATGTCCCCCCTCCAGCTCCAAGGGGTAGTGAGGGGGCTCCACGCACTGCCCCCAGCCAGAGCCCTAACCCCCCCACGCCAACCCTGATCCCCCTCCATCCCAGCCCCACCCCGGTGCCCGCCCCCCCGGCCAGAGCCCTCACTCCCCCAGCCCCAACCCTGATCCCCCTCCATCCCAGCCAGAGACCTGCCCCGCCCCAACCCCACCCCAGTGAAAATGAGTGAGGGGGCGGGGCCTCGGGGAGGGGTGGGGCCAGGGTGTTCGGCTGGATGGGAGTAGAAAGGTGGCAGCCCGAGGTTGCACGGCCCTTGCACACGGACCGCAGGTGTGACCTGCCCCAGGAGGATTTGCACGCGCTGGGGGACGGGCGGCGCGCGGGGCTGCAGCCCCCGCCCTTTCCAGGGCCAGTCATGCCCCTAATAAAGATGGCCGCCGCTCACCATGTGTTAGACGGGAGCGAAGTGAGGCTGCTCATAACCAAGATGGCCGCTGCGGGATCTGTCACGTGATCTTCACTGACCTCGGAAAGAGGACGGACCGCCGCTTTCAGCAGGTAGTGAAGCCGCCTTGCCTTTTTCCAAGATGGCCGCCACGCACAGCTTTACGCGAGCCCATCACCCCAACCCAAGCTGGCCTCCGAACCCTGTGAGTGACCTAGGTCGTCTAGCCAGCTCGCCTTCAAGGCGCATGCGCTGCCCTCACCGAAGATGGCGCCCACGCACCATACATCTGATAGGAGGTGAAGTCACAGAGCCCTTCCGTCCAACATGGCGGTCACAGTGCCGCCGAGTCACGCTGTGCCCTCACCCAAGATGGCGGCCGGCCTTACATATGGGACAGGGCGAGGCCACGCCCCCATCCTGCCCTCACCTAAGATGGCGCTGGCCAGCCTGCTGCCGCCGGAGCTGGCCGTCAACCGGGCCGGCTTCTTCGGGCTGGCGGGGCGCTGCGAGCTCCAGGCCCCCGGGCCCCGCCCGGCCCCAGGCCCGCCCGGCTTGGCCCCGCCCGCCTGGGGGCTCCCGGCCGCGGGGGACGCCAGGATCGAGCTGCTGCACGGGACCACCACGCTGGCCTTCAAGGTGGGCGGGGCCGGAGAGGGAGACCCCCCCTCGCCCCAAGGGCAGCGCCAGCCAGGGGCGGGGCTAGGCTGGGAGACCCCCCCATAGGAGGAGGGGGCGGGGCTAGGCTGGGAGACCCCCCCATAGGAGGAGGGGGCGGGGCTAGGCTGGGAGACCCCCCCATAGGAGGAGGGGGCGGGGCACAGACTCTGCTATGTGTGTGGGGCGGGAATTAGGGGGGTGCCCCCTGTGACATGCTGCAGGGAAGGGGATTGAGGGCTGCGCCAGAGTCCATATGGGGGGCACAGTGGGGTCAGGGTCAGCCCCTCTGCTCCGGAGTGGGTTGGGCAGTGATCTGGGGTGGAGCGAGGGTGTAGGAATGGGGCTGCCATCCTCGGAGTGGGGGTGCCTTGCCCCAGGGGGGCCATAGCCGGGCTTGGGCCCCTGACCCGCCCACCCCTCCAGTGGCAGGAAAGTGGCGGTGGGGGGCACTGTGCTCTGGGGGGTCGTACCCCAGCTCGGTGTCCCCTGATCCCTCCTCCCCCAGTTCCAGGAGGGTGTGGTGGTGGGGGGCACTGTGCTTGGGGGGGCACTGTGCTCCGGGGGGTCGTACCCCAGCTCGGTGCCCCCTGATCCTCCCTCCCCCAGTTCCAGGAGGGTGTGGGGGGGGCACTGTGCCCTGGGGGGGCGTACCCCAGCTCGGTGCCCCCTGATCCTCCCTCCCCCAGTTCTAGGAGGGTGTGGGGGGGGCACTGTGCCCTGGGGGGGCGTACCCCAGCTTGGTGCCCCCTGATCCTCCCTCCCCCAGTTCTAGGAGGGCGTGGGGGGGGGCACTGTGCCCTGGGGGGCGTACCCCAGCTCGGTGCCCCCTGACCCCTCCTCCCCCAGTTCCAGGAGGGCGTGGTGGTGGCGGTGGACTCGCGGGCCACAGCCGGCTCCTACGTGGCCTCGCAGACGGTGAAGAAGGTGATCGAGATCAACCCCTACCTGCTGGGCACCATGGCGGGCGGCGCCGCCGACTGCAGCTTCTGGGAGCGGCTGCTGGCCCGGCAGTGCCGCATCTACCAGCTGCGTAACAAGGAGCGCATCTCCGTGGCCGCCGCCTCCAAGCTGCTGGCCAACATGGTGTATCAGTACAAGGGGCTGGGCCTCCGCTTGGGGACCATGATCTGCGGCTGGGACAAGCGGGGCCCAGGTGAGGGCACCCCTGCCCCAGAGCACCCAGCCCCCTCCCGGGAATCTCCCTGCCCCCCGGGGCCCCAGAGTACCCAGCCCCCTCCCCAGCTCCTCCCCCCTCCATTCACTTGTCCCACCTTCCCCCTTGGGGTGATCCCCTTATCTACACCTTCCAGGGGACCCTCATTGCCCCATCCTCTCCCCTTGGGCTTCACTTTGGGGAGAGGAGTTACATGTGCAGTGCCCCCTGTCTCTGGGAAGAGGGGGGACCCCGTAGCTGGGGAGGGGGGACCGCATCTCCGGGGGGAGCCTGCAGTAACCCCCCTCTTCCCTCAGGCCTGTACTATGTGGACAGTGAGGGGAACCGCCTCTCAGGCACCGCTTTCTCCGTGGGCTCGGGCTCGGTGTACGCCTACGGGGTGCTAGACCGCGGCTACGCGTCCGACCTGTCAGCCGAGGAGGCCTACGACCTGGCCCGCCGTGCCATCTACCAGGCCACCTACCGCGATGCCTACTCCGGGGGCGAGGTCAACCTGTACCATGTCCGGCAGGACGGCTGGGTCCGTGTCTCCACCGACGACGTGGCCCAGCTTCACGCTCAGTACTGCGGGGACCCGCAGGGGGACGGGGCCGCCTGAGTGTGGGCTGGGGCCGCGGGGGGGCACAGATTGGCCATGGGGATTCCCTGAAGGTTACAAAGGAAGGGGCGTGGCTGGGGTAACTGCACATGGCGGGGGACATGGCCTATAGCTGGGGGTGGAGCTAGGGCCATGGGGTGGCTGCAGGGGCCCATGGTGCGAGGACCCTGCTGGCTCCCTATAAAGCTTGTTTCTGCCCCACTGCTGGAGAGTGTCGTCATTTGGGGGGGTAGGGGGTGGGCCTAGTCCTAAGCTGGGCTGCTAGTGAGCCCAGCCTGGCCCGCCTGCGCCACCCACTCCCTGGGCATCAACCTGCCCCGGATCAGGGGGAGCCTGGCTCGGGGAATCCGGTGGGGGGTGGGGAGGCAGGCTGGGGGCTGGACGCAGTGCTCTGACCCTGAATTCTCTGGCCTCCCAGGAAGGCTGGGGGAGGCACAGGGGACATCGCCGAGGGGGGCAGTCAGCATCTGCAGGGCCAGTGCCTGGCTGCTCCTGGCTTTACAGCCTGAGGGGCAACCCCTACCAGCTGTAAATCCCCAGGGACAGGGCCCGGGCAACCTCGCCTGACCCTTGCGCATTGCTGGCTTCCAGGGAGTATTGTGGCACTGCCCAGCGGGCCCCAGTTCATTAATTCCTCGAACAAAGGCTCAGAGCCAGCTGGGGGCGAGCGAGGAGGCTCTGCCAGTGTGGCCTTTCCTTGCGGTAGAAGCTGGCTGCCTGGCAGATCCCCAGAGGGGAACTCACCAGGGCATCGGCCGCCTGTCAGGTGCGGTTTGTCATTCGCCTGCCAGGGGCCGGCCAGTGGTGCTTGACCCCGCAAATGGGGGAGTGGGAAATGAGGACGAGCTGGGCGTGAGCCAGTGCTACAGGTGTGAGTACAGCTGTGTGGGTACAGCCGGGAGCGACTGTCCCAGCCAGCGCTGGGGGGGTGAGTGCAGCCGGGAGCGACTGTCCCAGCCAGCGCTGCGGGGGGGAGTGCAGCCGGGAGCCCCTGTCCCAGCCAGCGCTGCGGGGGGGAGTGCAGCCGGGAGCCCCTGTCCCAGCCAGCGCTGCGGGGGGGAGTGCAGCCGGGAGCCCCTGTCCCAGCCAGCGCTGCGGGGGGGAGTGCAGCCCCATGGATACAGCCGGGAGCGACTGTCCCAGCCAGCACAGACAAGACGTGGGGCTGGAAGGTGAAGCTGGCCAATGAGGGTGTCAGTGGCGACAGGTGGATTTGCTCTGTGCAGCCCACCCCAGAGCCGGCCCGGGGTCGGTGCCATCCGGCCGGATCATGTTCCATGGGCTTCGGAACCGGCCCTGTGCCCTGCCTTCGCCTGCGATGCCGAGGTGGCTGCATGTCAACAACCCACCAGGGAGCAGCAAGGAGACGGGCATAGAACCCAGGAGTCCGGCTCCCAGCCCCACTGACCAATGGACCCTACTTCCTTCCCAGAGCCAGGGAGAGAAGCCAGGAGTCAGTCCTCGCTCCCAGCCCCTGCCCACTCTAACCACTAGACCCCACTCCCCTCCTGGAGCCAGGGAGAGAACCCAGGAGTCCTGGGCTCCCCCCAAGTGGCCCATGCTCCTCAATCCTGCCTCTCACACCCCATCTCACCCCCACTTCTTTGCTGGGTCACTCTGTGGGAGGTGACCCAGGGTTAACCTTGCCCGCACCCCATCTCTGCTTGACCCCACTGCCCATTCCCCTGTATCCCCACCGTAGGGTGAGGAGTGGGAAAGGGGGGATGGAGGTGGGGGGAGAGTAAGAGACAAGGGTGCTCCGGAGCTGGGCCATGAAGAGAGGGAGGGTGGAGCACCGGGGGAGAGGGGGACAGGGAGCCAACCCAGGAGGGGAGAAAGGACAGAGAGAGGGTGGCTGCGGGGGACTGGGAAGGTGGGAGCATGTTGGGGTGTCCCTGGCAGGGCCCCACTGAGGCATGCAGGAGAGGGAGATGTGTGCAGCTGGGGGTGTGCAAGCTGTGGGCCCACATGTGCAGCTGCGGAAGGGGGGGTGGGAGCCACCGGGGGAGCAGTGCGTGCTGGGGGTGGGTGTTTGTAGCTGGTGGGGTGGGAGCAGCCGGGGGGAGGATTGAGGGGGTGGGAGCAGCTGGGGGGAGCGGTGTGTGCTGAGGGCAGGCGTGTGCAGCTGGGGGGTGGGAGCAGCAGGGGGGGGTTGAGGGGTGGGAACAGCCGGGGGAGCGGTGTGTGCTGAGGGCGGGCGTGTGCAGCTGGGGGGTGGGAGCAGTGGGGGGGGGGGGGTTGAGGGGTGGGAACAGCCGGGGGAGCGGTGTGTGCTGAGGGCGGGCGTGTGCAGCTGGGGGGGTGGGAGCAGTGGGGGGGTGGCTGAGGGGTGGGAACAGCCGGGGGAGCAGTGTGCTGAGGGCGGGCGTGTGCAGCTGGGGGGGTGGGAGCAGCGGGGGGGTGGTTGAGGGGTGGGAGCAGCCGGGGGAGCGGTGTGTGCTGAGGGCGGGAGTGTGCAGCTGGGGGGTGTTGAGGGGTGGGAACAGCCGGGGGAGCAGTGTGCTGAGGGCGGGCGTGTGCAGCTGGGGGGGTGGGAGCAGCTGGGGGGGTGGGAGCAGCGGGGGGGTGGTTGAGGGGTGGGAACAGCCGGGGGAGCGGTGTGTGCTGAGGGCGGGCGTGTGCAGCTGGGGGGTGGGAGCAGCTGGGGGGTGTTGAGGGGTGGGAACAGCTGGGGGAGCAGTGTGCTGAGGGTGGGCGTGTGCAGCTGGGGGGTGGGAGCAGCGGGGGGGGGTTGTGGGGTGGGAACAGCGGGGGAGCAGTGTGCTGAGGGCGGGCGTGTGCAGCGGGGGGGTGGTTGAGGGGTGGGAGCAGCCAGGGGAGCAGTGTGCTGAGGGTGGGCGTGTGCAGCTGGGGGGTGGGAGCAGCGGGGGGGGGGGTTGTGGGGTGGGAACAGCCGGGGGAGCGGTGTGTGCTGTGGGCGGGCGTGTGCAGCTGGGGGGTGGGAGCAGTGGGGGGGGGGTTGAGGGGTGGGAACAGCCGGGGGGAGCAGTGTGCTGTGGGCGGGCGTGTGCAGCTGGGGGGGTGGGAGCAGCGGGGGGGGTTGAGGGGTGGGAACAGCTGGGGGGGGCGGTGTGTGCTGAGGGCGGGCGTGTGCAGCTGGGGGGGTGGGAGCAGCGGGGGGGGGGTTGAGGGGTGGGAACAGCCGGGGGAGCGGTGTGTGCTGAGGGCGGGAGTGTGCAGCTGGGGGGTGTTGAGGGGTGGGAACAGCTGGGGGAGCAGTGTGCTGAGGGCGGGCGTGTGCAGCTGGGGGGGTGGGAGCAGCGGGGGGGTGGTTGAGGGGTGGGAACAGCCGGGGGAGCAGTGTGCTGAGGGCGGGCGTGTGCAGCTGGGGGGTGGGAGCAGTGGGGGGGGGGTTGAGGGGTGGGAACAGCCGGGGGAGCAGAGTGTGCTGAGGGCGGGCGTGTGCAGCTGGGGGGGTGGGAGCAGCGGGGGGGGGTTGAGGGGTGGGAACAGCCGGGGGAGCAGTGTGTGCTGTGGGCGGGCGTGTGCAGCTGGGGGGTGGGAGCAGCGGGGGGGGGGTTGAGGGGTGGGAACAGCTGGGGGGCGGTGTGTGCTGAGGGCGGGCGTGTGCAGCTGGGGGGTGGGAGCAGCAGGGGGGGTTGAGGGGTGGGAACAGCCGGGGGAGCAGTGTGTGCTGTGGGCGGGCGTGTGCAGCTGGGGGGGTGGGAGCAGCGGGGGGGTGTTAAGGGGTGAGAACAGCCGGGGGAGCAGTGTGTGCTGTGGGCGGGCGTGTGCAGCTGGGGGGTGGGAGCAGTGGGGGGGGGGTTGAGGGGTGGGAACAGCCGGGGGGGGGAGCGGTGTGTGCTGAGGGCGGGGCGTGGGCAGCTGGGGGGTGGGAGCAGCGGGGGGGGTTGAGGGGTGGGAACAGCCGGGGGAGCAGTGTGTGCTGTGGGCGGGCGTGTGCAGCTGGGGGGTGGGAGCAGTGGGGGGGGGGTTGAGGGGTGGGAACAGCCGGGGGAGCGGTGTGTGCTGAGGGCGGGCGTGTGCAGCTGGGGGGTGGGAGCAGCGGGGGGGTGTTGAGGGGTGGGAACAGCTGGGGGAGCAGTGTGCTGAGGGCGGGCGTGTGCAGCTGGGGGGGTGGGAGCAGCGGGGGGGTTGAGGGGTGGGAGCAGCCAGGGGAGCAGTGTGCTGAGGGCGGGCGTGTGCAGCTGGGGGGGTGGGAGCAGCGGGGGGGGTGGTTGAGGGGTGGGAGCAGCCAGGGGAGCAGTGTGCTGAGGGCGGGCGTGTGCAGCTGGGGGGGTGGGAGCAGTGGGGGGGGGTTGAGGGGTGGGAACAGCCGGGGGAGCGGTGTGTGCTGAGGGCGGGCGTGTGCAGCTGGGGGGGTGGGAGCAGTGGGGGGGGGTTGAGGGGTGGGAACAGCCGGGGGGAGCGGTGTGTGCTGAGGGCGGGCGTGTGCAGCTGGGGGGGTGGGAGCAGCTGGGGGGTGTTGAGGGGTGGGAACAGCCGGGGGAGCAGTGTGCTGAGGGTGGGCGTGTGCAGCTGGGGGGGTGGGAGCAGCGGGGGGGGGTTGAGGGGTGGGAACAGCCGGGGGAGCGGTGTGTGCTGAGGGCGGGCGTGTGCAGCTGGGGGGTGGGAGCAGCTGGGGGGTGTTGAGGGGTGGGAACAGCCGGGGGAGCAGTGTGCTGAGGGTGGGCGTGTGCAGCTGGGGGGTGGGAGCAGCGGGGGGGGTTGAGGGGTGGGAACAGCCGGGGGAGCGGTGTGTGCTGAGGGCGGGCGTGTGCAGCTGGGGGGGTGGGAGCAGCGGGGGGGGGGTGGTTGAGGGGGTGGGAGCAGCCAGGGGAGCAGTGTGCTGAGGGCGGGCGTGTGCAGCTGGGGGGGTGGGAGCAGCGGGGGGGGTTGAGGGGTGGGAACAGCCGGGGGAGCGGTGTGTGCTGAGGGCGGGCGTGTGCAGCTGGGGGGGAAGCTGGGCGGGCGTGTGCAGTGCCCCGGCCAATCAGAGCGGGTGGGGGGGCGGCATGTGGCCCACGTCCCCTGGTGCACACACACGAATACAAAGAGCCGCCCGCGACCTTCCTGTATCCTTTACCCGGGGCGCTGGGGGGCCAGGCCGGGCCCCCACCCCAACCCCCCTGTGCTGCCTGGCCTGGGCACACGTGCAAAGAGGCGGCCTGGGGCAGGGCCGTGTGCAATCCAGAGGGGGCGGCTGGTGGGGGGCTGGGGGGGATAGGTACATGGGATGCGGCTGGATGGGGGAGGGGTGGCTGGTTGGGAGCGAGTGGGGAATAGATAGATGCAGGGGGGCTTGAGGGTGAGGGGAAATAGATGCAGGGGGGCTGGACGGGGAGGGGCAGCTGGATGGGGGAGGGGAATACATGCGGGGGGGGCTGGAGGGGGAGGAGAATAGATGCAGGGGGATGGATGGGGAGGGGGGATGATGTGGGGGGGCTGGACAGGGGAGGGGGATAGATGCGGTGGGGGGGTGGGCAGGGAAGGGCCTGGAGGGGGGTGGGTAGATATTTGTGGGGGAGCAGGATTCGGTTGCACAGCTCTTGCGGGTGGGAGGACAGAGAGGAGGAGAGATGTACACGCACCCAGGGGAGAAGGCCAGGGGAGAAGGCCGGTGTGGGGAAGGAAGGGGAGGGGGTGGAGAAGGCCTGGTGTGGGGAGGGACGAATCGGGAGGGGAGGGGTGGAGAAGGCCCAGCCTGGGGAGGGACGGACGGGGAGGGGAGCGGTGGAGAAGTCCGGTGTGGGGGGGGGGGGGGAGAAGGGCCGTGTGCATAGGAATGGGTGCAGGGAGTGCTCCCAGCCTCAGCGTGGGGGTGGGCTGCACAGGGTTGGCTTTCAACCCCCCACTTTTAAAAACGTTCTAGCATCACTGGCCAGGCGTGGGGAGGATGGATGGGGAGGAGGACCATGCGTGGGCAGCCATGACAGAGGTTGGCGTGACCAGACAGGAGGTGGGGGGTGGTTGGCGTGACCCAGGCTGGGGTGGCCATGACAGAGGTTGGCGTGACCTGACAGGAGGTGGGGGGGTGGTTGGCGTGACCCAGGCTGGGGTGGCCATGACAGAGGTTGGCGTGACCAGACAGGAGGTGGGGGGTGGTTGGCGTGACCCAGGCTGGGGTGGCCATGACAGAGGTTGGCGTGACCAGACAGGAGGTGGGGGGTGGTTGGCGTGACCCAGGCTGGGGTGGCCATGACAGAGGTTGGCGTGACCAGACAGGAGGTGGGGGGTGGTTGGCGTGACCCAGGCTGGGGTGGCCATGACAGAGGTTGGCGTGACCAGACAGGAGGTGGGGGGTGGTTGGCGTGACCCAGGCTGGGGTGGCCATGACAGAGGTTGGCGTGACCTGACAGGAGGTGGGGGGTGGTTGGCGTGACCCAGGCTGGGGTGGCCATGACAGAGGTTGGCGTGACCTGACAGGAGGTGGGGGGGTGGTTGGCGTGACCCAGGCTGGGTGGCCATGACAGAGGTTGGCGTGACCTGACAGGAGGTGGGGGGTGGTTGGCGTGACCCAGGCTGGGTGGCCATGACAGAGGTTGGCGTGACCTGACAGGAGGTGGGGGGTGGTTGGCGTGACCAGGTCTGGGGATCATCTGTTGAGGGGGCAGTCCCGAAATCCTAGATGGCTACGGCGTGGCCATGAAAAGGGCCCAACATCAAAGTCCCCCTTGAGGGACCCCTTCTCCCATCTTTGCTCTCAGAACCCCCCTCCCTTCTGCCCGGCCTAGAGACAGCCGGCTCACAGCCAATCGGCTACTTCGGGCTTCTCCCGCGCTAGCCAATGAGAGCGTTGGTGGCGAGGGGACGCGGCGCTTTGTACACGGCCCCGGCGCTCGCTCCCTCCTCCCATCGCCCCCGCCCCGCCCCCGCGCTGCACACAGGGCGTGGAACGTTGGGCAGGCCGGGATTCTAAACCGCTGGGCCCCAAGTAAACAACCAACGGCCCGGGCAGGGAGGGGCCTCATTAGCATTTATGGAAATGAGGGTCCCAGAGGACTCCTCGCCCCACATCACGCCAGCCCCCCCCCAGACCTACGTCACGCCAGCCCCCCCCCAGGCCCTGCATCACGCCAACCCCCCCAGACCTACATCACGCCAACCCCCCCAGGCCCTGCATCACGCCAACCCCCCCCCAGACCCTACGTCACGCCAACCCCCCCAGACCTACGTCACGCCAACCCCCCCAGGCCCGCATCACGCCAACCCCCCCAGACCTACGTCACGTCAGCCCCCCCGGCCTGCATCACGCCAACCCCCCCAGACCTACATCACGCCAGCCCCCCCGCAGACCTACATCACGCCAACCACCCCCCCCCGGGCCTTCCATCACACCAACCCCCGCCCCGGCCTGCATGAAGCCAACTGGGCCCCATGTCATGCCAACCTGCCCCCGGCCCTCCATCACGCCAACCCCCGCCCCGGCCTGCATGAAGCCAACTGGGACCCATGTCATGCCAACCCCCCCAGGCCCTGCATCACGCCAGCCACCCCCCAGACCTACGTCACGTCAGTCCCCCCCCGGCCTGCATGAAGCCAACCGGGCCCCATGTCATGCCAACCCACCCTCAGCCTTCCACCACGCCAACCACCCCCGCAGACCTACATCACGCCAACCCACCCTCAGCCCTCCATCACGCCAACCACCCCCCCCGGGCCCTCCATCACACCAACCCCCACCCCGGCCTGCATGAAGTCAACTGGGCCCCATGTCACGCCAACCTGCCCCCGGCCCTCCATCACGCCAACCTGCCCCCGGCCCTCCATCATGCCAACCCACCCCCGGCCATCCATCACGCCAACCACCCCCCAGACCTACGTCACGCCAACACTCCCGGCCAGCATGAAGCCAACCCGGCCCCACATCACGCCAACCCACCCCTGACCACGTGTCACACCAACCCCCCCCAGCCCTCCATCACGCCAACCAGCCCCCCGGCCCTCTGTCATGCCACCCACCCGCCCCAGCCCCGTGGCCAGTGGCAATGGAGCAATCTGTACAGTGGGAGGCTGAGAGCCATTGACCCAACCTGCAACCCTAGATATAATGGAAACCACTTCAAGCCTGGCCTCGTTCCAGTCCCCAGCCTGTCTCACATCAGCTTCAAGGGTCACCCACTTCTGGGTCAGGCCAACCCCCTTCCCCCATCCCGGGTCAAGCGCCAACCCCCTTCCCCCATCCCGGGTCAAGCGCCAACCCCCTTCCCCCATCCCGGGTCCGGCCAACCCCCTTCCCCCATCCCGGGTCCGGCCAACCCCCTTCCCCATCCCAGATCAGGTGCCAACCTCCTTCCCACATCCTGGGTCATGCCAACTCCCTGGCCCTCATGGCCACTGATGTCTAGGCTACGGCACCCCCTGCCTCACAGCCGTCAAGCTCCCCTTGCAGCCAAGGCCCCCACCTGGTCACACCAACTCCCCCCCCGGCACCCATCCCCCTGGGTCATGCCCCACACCCCCCCTCACAGCCACTCACCCCCTTGGGTCATGCCACACCCCCCCCTCACAGCCTCATTCCCCCAGGGCCACACCAACCCTCCCTCACAGCCACCCTCCCCCGGGATCAAGCCAACCCTGCCCTCACAGCCATCACCCCCCTCACAGCCACCCCCCTGTCATGCAACCCCCCCCTCGCAGCCACTAACCCCCCGACAGCTGTCCCCCCATCATGCTAACCCCACCCTTACAGCCACCCCCCTTGGGTCACCCCCCCACAGCCACCCACCCCTGGGTCATGCCAACCCCTTCCCACAGCCCCCCCCCCCAGAGGTTATATTTTCCTTGACTTTCCCTCCCCTCAGCCCCTGCAGCGCTCACCCCCGCCCAGGGGAGCCATGGGCTCTGGGAGCCGCCCCCGGGTGCGCCCATGCCCTGGATGCCCGCACTGGGGGTGCTGAGCGGGAAGCTCCCACAAACCCTTGGGCTCGCCATGTCCTTCAGCGCCACCATCCTCTTCTCACCCCCCGGTGCCCAGGAGGCCACGGCCTGCTGCTGTGCCTGCAAGCGGGAGCCGGGGGCAGAGGGGGGGGGTGGTACACCCCCAGCCCCCTGTGCCCCCATCAGTGTCTCGGGCCACGGGCTGGCAGTGCAGAGCTCCGAGCAGCTGCTGCACGTCATTTACCAGCGCCTGGACAAGGCCGTGGGGCTGGCCGAGGCCGCCCTGGCCCTGGCAAAGGCCAACAACCAGGCCCTGCGGCGGCTGGAGGAGGAGGTGGGGGGGCTGCGGAGGGGGGCGCCCCCGACCGTCAAGGCCAGCCCCTGCCCGACGGTGGCCGAGGAGCCCGAGGAGGAGGTGGAGGCTGAAGGCTTGGGGAGCAGCGTCCAAGGGGTGATCGAGGAGCTGAGGCAGCTAGGGGCAGCAACAGAACCTCCCGGACGCCTGGGTTTCTCACCTGTGCAGCCTGGAGACTCGGGACTGGGTGGGGTGTGTGAGCCACAGACCCACTGCGCCCTGCCATGGTGTAGCTTAGCCCCCCCTGGCCGGGAACAGCTGGCTCCTGTCCAAGAGCTGCTTGGCAGTGATGCATTGTGGGAGTCACGCCAACCCCCACTTGGTGCCCAGGACACAGGCTTGAAGGGCAATACCAGTGCTGCGGATCGGGAGTGAGGGGCACCGCGGGGCTGTGGGGAGGGCCCAGGGGGCTGCGGGTCGGGAGTGAGGGGCACCGCGGGGCTGTGGGGAGAGCCCAGGGGGTTGCGGGTCGGGAGTGAGGGGCACCGCGGGGCTGTGGGGAGGGCGCAGGGGGCTGCGGGTCGGGAGTGAGGGGCACCGCGGGGCTGTGGGGAGGGCGCAGGGGGCTGCGGGTCGGGAGTGAGGGGCACCGCGGGGCTGTGGGGAGGGCCCAGGGGGCTGCGGGTCGGGAGTGAGGGCACCGCGGGGCTGTGGGGGGGGGGCCCAGGGGGCTGCGGGTCGGGAGTGAGGGGCACCGCGGGGCTGTGGGGGGGCCCAGGGGGCTGCGGGTCGGGAGTGAGGGGCACCGCGGGGCTGTGGGGGGGGCCCAGGGGGCTGCGGGTCGGGAGTGAGGGGCACCGCGGGGCTGTGGGGGAGGGCCCAGGGGGCTGCGGGTCGGGAGTGAGGGGCACCGCGGGGCTGTGGGGAGGGCCCAGGGGGCTGCGGGTCGGGAGTGAGGGGCACCGCGGGGCTGTGGGGAGGGCCCAGGGGGCTGCGGGTCGGGAGTGAGGGGGCACCGCGGGGGCTGTGGGGGGAGGGCGCAGGGGGCTGCGGGTCGGGAGTGAGGGGCACCGCGGGGCTGTGGGGAGGGCCCAGGGGGCTGCGGGTCGGGAGTGAGGGGCACCGCGGGGCTGTGGGGAGGGCCCAGGGGGCTGCGGGTCGGGAGTGAGGGGCACCGCGGGGCTGTGGGGAGGGCCCAGGGGGCTGCGGGTCGGGAGTGAGGGGCACCGCGGGGCTGTGGGGAGGGCCCAGGGGGCTGCGGGTCGGGAGTGAGGGGCACCGCGGGGCTGTGGGGAGGGCCCAGGGGGCTGCGGGTCGGGAGTGAGGGGGCACCGCGGGGCTGTGGGGGAGGGCCCAGGGGGCTGCGGGTCGGGAGTGAGGGGCACCGCGGGGCTGTGGGGGGGGCCCAGGGGGCTGCGGGTCGGGAGTGAGGGGCACCGCTGGGCTGTGGGGAGGGCCCAGGGGGCTGCGGGTCGGGAGTGAGGGGCACCGCGGGGCTGTGGGGAGGGCCCAGGGGGCTGCGGGTCGGGAGTGAGGGGCACCATCAGGGCTGATGCATTTCTCCCCCAGGTGCTGGAGGAGCAGCCCCCCCTGGAGGACCCTCTTCAGCGAGTGGTGGTCCCGGCTTTCCCCACCACCCCCTCCCCTTCCCCCCAGCCCGTGGGGGAACCCTCGCCCTCGGGTTCCGAGGAGCCACCCCCCTGCACGGCCCTGGAGAATGGCAGCCCAGGGGAGCCCCGGTTCTCCCTGGGGTTCACCAGTGGCCCCTGCCGCAGCCGGGGCAGTGGGCCCAAGAACTCCCGGCGCAAGAGGGACCTGGTGCTGTCGGTGAGTGGAGGCTGGCCGGGCTGGCGGAGGGGGGCGGCTCGGGGACCCCTCACCCCAGTGACTCACTGTCTGCCCCACAGAAACTCGTCCACAACGTGCACAACAACATCACCAACCAGAGGAGATTCAATGGCTCTGAAAGGTGAGTCCCTCCCCGCAATGAACCCAGGAGTCCTGGCATGCCCCTCCCGCTCCACTATAACCACTAGGCCCACCCACCTCCTAGAGCCAGGGAGAGAATCCAGGAGTCCTGGATTGCTCTCCACTCTGCTCTATCCACTAGGCCCCCTCCACTCCCAGAGCTGGGATAGAACCCAGGAGTCCTGGCTCCCAGCCCCACACTCTAACCTCTAGACCTGTCTGGCAGTGGGATGGGGGGCTTTGGCATGACTCTCGCCCTCCCTTCTGCCACCTTGGCAGCATCAAGTCTTCCTGGAACATTGGGGTGGTGAAATTCCTGTTGGAGAAACTGAGGCACGAACTGGTGACGAGTCAGCATAACTACACTGACAAGGAGCTAAAGGGTGAGTGCGTGTTTACACCTTGCCCCCCCCGTGCCCCTAAACATGCTTCCTGCCCAACCCCTGACCCCTCTCTGTGCCCCTTGGTGCTTCCTGCCCGACCCCTGACCCCTTTCTGTGCCCCTAGGCGCTTCCTGCCCAACCCCTGACCCCTCTCTGTGCCCCTTGGCGCTTCCTGCCCGACCCCTGACCCCTTTCTGTGCCCCTAGGCGCTTCCTGACCGACCCCTGGCCCCTCGGTGCCCCTTGGCGCTTCCTGCCCGACCCCTGACCCCTCTCTGTGCCCCTTGGCGCTTCCTGCCCGACCCCTGGCCCCTTTCTGTGCCCCTAGGCGCTTCCTGCCCGACCCCTGACCCCTCTCTGTGCCCCTAGGCGCTTCCTGCCCGACCCTTGACCCCTCTCTGTGCCCCTTGGCGCTTCCTGCCCAACCCCTGACCCCTCTCTGTGCCCCTTGGTGCTTCCTGCCCGACCCCTGACCCCTTTCTGTGCCCCTAGGCGCTTCCTGCCCAACCCCTGACCCCTCTCTGTGCCCCTAGGCGCTTCCTGACCGACCCCTGACCCCTCTCTGTGCCCCTAGGCGCTTCCTGACCGACCCCTGGCCCCTCGGTGCCCCTTGGCGCTTCCTGCCCGACCCCTGACCCCTCTCTGTGCCCCTTGGCGCTTCCTGCCCGACCCCTGGCCCCTTTCTGTGCCCCTAGGCGCTTCCTGCCCGACCCCTGACCCCTCTCTGTGCCCCTAGGCGCTTCCTGCCCGACCCCTGACCCCTCTCTGTGCCCCTAGGCGCTTCCTGCCCGACCCCTGACCCCTCTCTGTGCCCCTTGGCGCTTCCTGCCCGACCCCTGGCCCCTCTCTGTGCCCCTTGGCGCTTCCTGCCCGACCCCTGGCCCCTCTCTGTGCCCCTTGGCGCTTCCTGCCCGACCCCTGGCCCCTCTCTGTGCCCCTAGGCGCTTCCTGCCCGACCCCTGACCCCTCTCTGTGCCCCTAGGCGCTTCCTGCCCGACCCCTGGCCCCTCTCTGTGCCCCTAGGCGCTTCCTGCCCGACCCCTGGCCCCTTTCTGTGCCCCTAGGCGCTTCCTGCCCGACCCCTGACCCCTCTCTGTGCCCCTTGGCGCTTCCTGCCCGACCCCTGGCCCCTCTCTGTGCCCCTTGGCGCTTCCTGCCCGACCCCTGACCCCTCTCTGTGCCCCTTGGCGCTTCCTGCCCGACCCCTGACCCCTCTCTGTGCCCCTTGGCGCTTCCTGCCCGACCCCTGACCCCTCGGTGCCCTTGGCGCTTCCTGACCGACCCCTGGCCCCTCTCTGTGCCCCTTGGCGCTTCCTGCCCGACCCCTGGCCCTTCTCTGTGCCCCTTGGCGCTTCCTGCCCGACCCCTGGCCCCTCTCTGTGCCCCTAGGCGCTTCCTGCCCGACCCCTGACCCCTCTCTGTGCCCCTTGGCGCTTCCTGCCCGACCCCTGACCCCTCTCTGTGCCCCTAGGCGCTTCCTGCCCGACCCCTGACCCCTCTCTGTGCCCCTTGGCGCTTCCTGCCCGACCCCTGACCCCTCTCTGTGCCCCTTGGCGCTTCCTGCCCGACCCCTGACCCCTCGGTGCCCTTGGCGCTTCCTGACCGACCCCTGGCCCCTCTCTGTGCCCCTTGGCGCTTCCTGCCCGACCCCTGGCCCTTCTCTGTGCCCCTTGGCGCTTCCTGCCCGACCCCTGGCCCCTCGGTGCCCTTGGCGCTTCCTGCCCGACCCCTGGCCCCTCTCTGTGCCCCTTGGCGCTTCCTGCCCGACCCCTGGCCCCTCTCTGTGCCCCTTGGCGCTTCCTGCCCGACCCCTGGCCCCTCGGTGCCCCTTGGCGCTTCCTGCCCGACCCCTGGCCCCTCGGTGCCCCTGGCGCTTCCTGCCCGACCCCTGGCCTCTCTCTGTGCCCCAGGCGCTTCCTGCCCGACCCCTGGCCCCTCTCTGTGCCCCTTGGCGCTTCCTGCCCGACCCCTGACCCCTCTCTGTGCCCCTAGGCGCTTCCTGCCCGACCCCTGGCCCCTCGGTGCCCCTAGGCGCTTCCTGCCCGACCCCTGGCCCCTCGGTGCCCTTGGCGCTTCCTGCCCGACCCCTGGCCCCTCGGTGCCCCTAGGTGCTTCCTGCCCGACCCCTGGCCCCTCGGTGCCCCTAGGCGCTTCCTGCCCGACCCCTGGCCCCTCTCTGTGCCCCTTGGCGCTTCCTGCCCGACCCCTGGCCCCTCTCTGTGCCCCTTGGCGCTTCCTGCCCGACCCCTGGCCCCTCTCTGTGCCCCTTGGCGCTTCCTGCCCGACCCCTGACCCCTCTCTGTGCCCCTAGGCGCTTCCTGCCCGACCCCTGGCCCCTCGGTGCCCCTAGGCGCTTCCTGCCCGACCCCTGGCCCCTCGGTGCCCTTGGCGCTTCCTGCCCGACCCCTGACCCCTCTCTGTGCCCCTAGGCGCTTCCTGCCCGACCCCTGGCCCCTCGGTGCCCCTAGGTGCTTCCTGCCCGACCCCTGGCCCCTCGGTGCCCCTAGGCGCTTCCTGCCCGACCCCTGGCCCCTCTCTGTGCCCCTTGGCGCTTCCTGCCCGACCCCTGGCCCCTCTCTGTGCCCCTCGGCGCTTCCTGCCCGACCCCTGGCCCCTCGGTGCCCCTAGGTGCTTCCTGCCCGACCCCTGGCCCCTCGGTGCCCCTAGGTGCTTCCTGCCCGACCCCTGGCCCCTCTCTGTGCCCCTAGGCGCTTCCTGCCCGACCCCTGGCCCCTCGGTGCCCTTGGCGCTTCCTGCCCGACCCCTGGCCCCTCTCTGTGCCCCTTGGCGCTTCCTGCCCGACCCCTGGCCCCTCTCTGTGCCCCTTGGCGCTTCCTGCCCGACCCCTGGCCCCTCGGTGCCCTTGGCTGCTGCCGACCGAGCCCTGTCATGCCCAGGTGCCTGCGTGGCGTACTTCCTGACCAAGCGCCGTGAGTATCGCAACTCCCTGAACCCCTTCAAGGGGCTGAAGGAAAAGGAGGAGAAGAAACTGCGGAGCCGGCGCTACCGGGTGAGGGGCCTGGCATGGTGGGGTATCGGATGTGGCAGGGGGGTGGGGCCATGGGGGGCGCAGGGCAGGCACGGGGGGGCTGTAGGGAGCTTAGGGCAGGGAGATGGGGCTACGGGGGGCGCAGGGCAGGGGGGCCTGGGCCATGGGGGGCGCAGGGCAGGTGTGGGGGCTGTAGGAAGCCTAGGGCAGGGGGGTGGGGCTATGGGGGGCGCAGGGCAGGTGTGGGGGCTGTAGGAAGCCTAGGGCAGGGGGGTGGGGCCATGGAGGGCGCAGGGGAGGCGGGGGAGGCCGTAGGGAGCGTAGGGCAGGGGGTGGGGCCATGGAGGGCGCAGGGGGAGGCGGGGGAGGCCGTAGGGAGCGTAGGGCAGGGGGTGGGGCCATGGAGGGCGCAGGGGAGGCCGTAGGGAGCGTAGGGCAGGGGGTGGGGCCATGGAGGGCGCAGGGGAGGCGGGGGAGGCCGTAGGGAGCGTAGGGCAGGGGGTGGGGCCATGGAGGGCGCAGGGGAGGCGGGGGAGGCCGTAGGGAGCGTAGGGCAGGGGGGTGGGGCATGGGGGGGCGCAGGGGAGGCGAGGGAGGCCGTAGGGAGCGTAGGGCGGGGGGGTGGGGCCATGGAGGGCGCAGGGGAGGCGGGGGAGGCCGTAGGGAGCGTAGGGCAGGGGGTGGGGCCATGGAGGGCGCAGGGGGAGGCGGGGGAGGCCGTAGGGAGCGTAGGGCAGGGGGTGGGGCCATGGAGGGCGCAGGGGGAGGCAGGGGGAGGCCGTAGGGAGCGTAGGGCAGGGGGTGGGGCCATGGAGGGCGCAGGGGGAGGCGGGGGAGGCCGTAGGGAGCGTAGGGCAGGGGGTGGGGCCATGGAGGGCGCAGGGGGAGGCCGTAGGGAGCGTAGGGCAGGGGGTGGGGCCATGGAGGGCGCAGGGGGAGGCGGGGGGAGGCCGTAGGGAGCGTAGGGCAGGGGGTGGGGCCATGGAGGGCGCAGGGGGAGGCGGGGGAGGCCGTAGGGAGCGTAGGGCAGGGGGTGGGGCCATGGAGGGCGCAGGGGAGGCCGTAGGGAGCGTAGGGCAGGGGGGTGGGGCCATGGAGGGCGCAGGGGAGGCGGGGGAGGCCGTAGGGAGCGTAGGGCAGGGGGGTGGGGCCATGGAGGGCGCAGGGGGGAGGCGGGGAGGCCGTAGGGAGCGTAGGGCAGGGGGTGGGGCCATGGAGGGCGCAGGGGGAGGCGAGGGGAGGCCGTAGGGAGCGTAGGGCGGGGGGTGGGGCATGGGGGGGGCGCAGGGGAGGCGAGGGAGGCCGTAGGGAGCGTAGGGCAGGGGGGTGGGGCCATGGAGGGCGCAGGGGAGGCGGGGGAGGCCGTAGGGAGCGTAGGGCAGGGGGTGGGGCCATGGAGGGCGCAGGGGGAGGCGGGGGAGGCCGTAGGGAGCGTAGGGCAGGGGGTGGGGCCATGGAGGGCGCAGGGGGAGGCGGGGGAGGCCGTAGGGAGCGTAGGGCAGGGGGGTGGGGCCATGGAGGGCGCAGGGGAGGCGGGGGAGGCCGTAGGGAGCGTAGGGCAGGGGGGGTGGGGCCATGGGGAGGGCGCAGGAGAGGCGGGGGAGGCCGTAGGGAGCGTAGGGCAGGGGGGTGGGGCCATGGAGGGCGCAGGGGGAGGCGGGGGAGGCCGTAGGGAGCGTAGGGCAGGGGGTGGGGCCATGGAGGGCGCAGGGGAGGCGGGGGAGGCCGTAGGGAGCGTAGGGCAGGGGGGTGGGGCCATGGGGGGGCGCAGGGGGAGGCGGGGGAGGCCGTAGGGAGCGTAGGGCAGGGGGGTGGGGCCATGGAGGGCGCAGGGGAGGCGGGGGAGGCCGTAGGGAGCGTAGGGCAGGGGGGTGGGGCCATGGAGGGCGCAGGGGAGGCCGTAGGGAGCGTAGGGCAGGGGGATGGGGCCATGGAGGGCGCAGGGGAGGCGGGGGAGGCCGTAGGGAGCGTAGGGCGGGGGGTGGGGCCATGGAGGGCGCAGGAGAGGCGGGGGGAGGCCGTAGGGAGCGTAGGGCAGGGGGGTGGGGCCATGGAGGGCGCAGGGGAGGCGGGGGAGGCCGTAGGGAGCGTAGGGCAGGGGGTGGGGCCATGGGGGGGGCGCAGGGGAGGCGGGGGAGGCCGTAGGGAGCGTAGGGCAGGGGGGTGGGGCCATGGGGGGGGCGCAGGGGGAGGCGGGGGAGGCCGTAGGGAGCGTAGGGCAGGGGGGTGGGGCCATGGAGGGCGCAGGGGGAGGCGGGGGAGGCCGTAGGGAGCGTAGGGCAGGGGGGTGGGGCCATGGAGGGCGCAGGGGAGGCGAGGGAGGCCGTAGGGAGCGTAGGGCAGGGGGGTGGGGCCATGGAGGGCGCAGGGGGAGGCGGGGAGGCCGTAGGGAGCGTAGGGCAGGGGGGTGGGGCCATGGAGGGCGCAGGGGAGGCGGGGGAGGCCGTAGGGAGCGTAGGGCAGGGGGTGGGGCCATGGGGGGGGGCGCAGGGGAGGCGGGGGAGGCCGTAGGGAGCGTAGGGCAGGGGGGTGGGGCCATGGAGAGCGCAGGAGAGGCGGGGGAGGCCGTAGGGAGCGTAGGGCAGGGGGGTGGGGCCATGGAGGGCGCAGGGGAGGCGAGGAGGCCGTAGGGAGCGTAGGGCGGGGGGTGGGGCCATGGAGGGCGCAGGGGAGGCGGGGGAGGCCGTAGGGAGCGTAGGGCAGGGGGGTGGGGCCATGGTGAGCGCAGGAGAGGCGGGGGAGGCCGTAGGGAGCGTAGGGCAGGGGGGTGGGGCCATGGAGGGCGCAGGGGAGGCGGGGGAGGCCGTAGGGAGCGTAGGGCGGGGGGTGGGGCCATGGGGGGGGCGCAGGGGAGGCGGGGGAGGCCGTAGGGAGCGTAGGGCAGGGGGGTGGGGCCATGGAGGGCGCAGGGGAGGCGGGGGAGGCCGTAGGGAGCGTAGGGCAGGGGGGTGGGGCCATGGAGGGTGCAGGAGAGGCGGGGGAGGCCGTAGGGAGCGTAGGGCAGGGGGGTGGGGCCATGGAGAGCGCAGGAGAGGCGGGGGAGGCCGTAGGGAGCGTAGGGCAGGGGGGTGGGGCCATGGAGGGCGCAGGGGAGGCGGGGGAGGCCGTAGGGAGCGTAGGGCAGGGGGGTGGGGCCATGGTGAGCGCAGGAGAGGCGGGGGAGGCCGTAGGGAGCGTAGGGCGGGGGGGTGGGGCCATGGGGTGGGGCCATGGAGGGCGCAGGGGAGGCCGTAGGGAGCGTAGGGCAGGGGGGTGGGGCCATGGTGAGCGCAGGAGAGGCGGGGGAGGCCGTAGGGAGCGTAGGGCAGGGGGGTGGGGCCATGGTGAGCGCAGGAGAGGCGGGGGAGGCCGTAGGGAGCGTAGGGCAGGGGGGTGGGGCCATGGAGGGGGCGCAGGGGGGGGGCGGGGAGGCCGTAGGGAGCGTAGGGCAGGGGGGTGGGGCCATGGAGGGCGCAGGGGAGGCGAGGGAGGCCGTAGGGAGCGTAGGGCGGGGGGTGGGGCATGGGGGGGCGCAGGGGAGGCGAGGGAGGCCGTAGGGAGCGTAGGGCAGGGGGGTGGGGCCATGGAGGGCGCAGGGGAGGCGGGGGAGGCCGTAGGGAGCGTAGGGCAGGGGGGTGGGGCCATGGTGAGCGCAGGAGAGGCGGGGGAGGCCGTAGGGAGCGTAGGGCAGGGGGGTGGGGCCATGGAGGGCGCAGGGGGAGGCGGGGGAGGCCGTAGGGAGCGTAGGGCAGGGGGGTGGGGCCATGGGGGGGGCGCAGGGGGAGGCGGGGGAGGCCGTAGGGAGCGTAGGGCAGGGGGGTGGGGCCATGGAGGGCGCAGGGGAGGCGGGGGAGGCCGTAGGGAGCGTAGGGCAGGGGGGTGGGGCCATGGTGAGCGCAGGAGAGGCGGGGGAGGCTGTAGGGAGCGTAGGGCAGGGGGGTGGGGCCATGGAGGGCGCAGGGGGAGGCGGGGGAGGCCGTAGGGAGCGTAGGGCAGGGGGTGGGGCCATGGAGGGCGCAGGGGAGGCGGGGGAGGCCGTAGGGAGCGTAGGGCGGGGGGTGGGGCATGGGGGGGGCGCAGGGGAGGCGGGGGAGGCCGTAGGGAGCGTAGGGCAGGGGGGTGGGGCCATGGAGGGCGCAGGGGAGGCGGGGGAGGCCGTAGGGAGCGTAGGGCAGGGGGGTGGGGCCATGGAGGGCGCAGGGGAGGCGGGGGGAGGCCGTAGGGAGCGTAGGGCAGGGGGGTGGGGCCATGGAGGGCGCAGGAGAGGGGGGGAGGCCGTAGGGAGCGTAGGGCAGGGGGTGGGGCCATGGAGAGCGCAGGAGAGGCGGGGGAGGCCGTAGGGAGCGTAGGGACGGGGGGGGGGCCATGGAGGGCGCAGGGGGAGGCGGGGGAGGCCGTAGGGAGCGTAGGGCAGGGGGGTGGGGCCATGGAGGGCGCAGGGGAGGCGGGGGAGGCCGTAGGGAGCGTAGGGCAGGGGGTGGGGCCATGGAGGGCGCAGGGGGAGGCGGGGGAGGCCGTAGGGAGCGTAGGGCAGGGGGGTGGGGCCATGGGGGGGGGCGCAGGGGGAGGCGGGGGGAGGCCGTAGGGAGCGTAGGGCAGGGGGGTGGGGCCATGGAGGGCGCAGGGGAGGCGGGGGAGGCCGTAGGGAGCGTAGGGCAGGGGGGTGGGGCCATGGTGAGCGCAGGAGAGGCGGGGGGAGGCCGTAGGGAGCGTAGGGCAGGGGGGTGGGGCCATGGAGGGCGCAGGGGGAGGCGGGGGAGGCCGTAGGGAGCGTAGGGCAGGGGGTGGGGCCATGGAGAGCGCAGGAGAGGCGGGGAGGCCGTAGGGAGCGTAGGGCAGGGGGGTGGGGCCATGGAGGGCGCAGGGGGAGGCGGGGGGAGGCCGTAGGGAGCGTAGGGCAGGGGGTGGGGCCATGGAGGGCGCAGGGGAGGCGGGGGAGGCCGTAGGGAGCGTAGGGCAGGGGGGTGGGGCCATGGAGGGCGCAGGGGGAGGCGGGGGAGGCCGTAGGGAGCGTAGGGCAGGGGGGTGGGGCCATGGGGGGGGCGCAGGGGAGGCGGGGGAGGCCGTAGGGAGCGTAGGGCAGGGGGGTGGGGCCATGGAGGGCGCAGGGGAGGCGGGGGAGGCCGTAGGGAGCGTAGGGCAGGGGGGTGGGGCCATGGAGGGCGCAGGGGAGGCGGGGGAGGCCGTAGGGAGCGTAGGGCAGGGGGGTGGGGCCATGGAGGGCGCAGGGGAGGCGGGGGAGGCCGTAGGGAGCGTAGGGCAGGGGGGTGGGGCCATGGAGGGCGCAGGGGGAGGCGGGGGAGGCCGTAGGGAGCGTAGGGCAGGGGGTGGGGCCATGGAGGGCGCAGGGGAGGCGGGGGAGGCCGTAGGGAGCGTAGGGCAGGGGGGTGGGGCCATGGGGGGGGCGCAGGGGAGGCGGGGGAGGCCGTAGGGAGCGTAGGGCAGGGGGGTGGGGCCATGGAGGGCGCAGGGGAGGCGGGGGAGGCCGTAGGGAGCGTAGGGCAGGGGGGTGGGGCCATGGAGGGCGCAGGGGAGGCGGGGGGAGGCCGTAGGGAGCGTAGGGCAGGGGGGTGGGGCCATGGTGAGCGCAGGGGAGGCGGGGGAGGCCGTAGGGAGCGTAGGGCAGGGGGGTGGGGCCATGGAGGGCGCAGGGGAGGCGGGGGAGGCCGTAGGGAGCGTAGGGCGGGGGGTGGGGCATGGGGGGGCGCAGGGCCATGAGAGGTGCATGGCAGGAGGGGTGGGTGTTGTGCACAGCAAGGGGCCGGGCCCTGCGGGAGGCACAGCAGGCGGATCGGGGTTATGCTGGAGCCGGGCAGGGGGTTGTGAATAGCAGGAGGTGGGGCCATGTGCGGGGTGTGATTGGGCAGCGGCATGGCTGTGGCAGGGGTGGGGCCGGGACCCCTCGCGGCACGGCGGGGCTGACCCCCGGCTCGCCCCCCAGCTCTTTGCCAACCGGGCGGGCGTGGCACGGCTGCTGGGCCCTGAGGAGCAGCGGCTGTGGCGGGGCGTGACGGAGGAGCTCATGTCGGACGAGGAGGACAGCCCGAGTGAACCGGGGGTGTGGGTGGCCCGGCCCCCCCGCTTCCGTGCCACCCCCCTCACCCAGCTCTGCTACCGCCTGGACATCAACGCCAAGCACGGCGCCAAGGCCAACCGGGTCTATGGGCCGCCCTCTGAGCGCCTGCCCTCGGCTGAAGCCCAGCTCCTGCCCCCCCACCTCTACGACCCCCACTTCCAGGACCGCGAAGAGGGGGAGGGCTCCGGCCTTGCCCCTTTCCCCCCACCCCACAAGGACTTCTGCCCTGACCTCCGCCCCTTCCTTGAGATCAAGGTGGAGAAGGACGAGTGAGCCAGGACAGGCGCCCCACACCCAAGATGGCCGCCACGGGGGGCCGGCGACCCTCCCGACGTGGGCTCAATGTGGAGCATGTTGAGGGACCATAGATGGCTGCTGGAGGACTCTGGGGGAATGGGGACAGGAAATGGGGCATCAAGGTAGAGAGAGATGAGCAAGCCAAGATGGCTGCTACGCATCCAAGATGGCTGCCCCACATTCAGCATGGTTGCCTCCCAACAAGATACCACCGGTGGGCTGTGAGGGGGAGGAGCTGCGACGTCCCCCCCCACCTCAGTGCTGTCAAGGACCCCATGGGGAGGATAAGCGAGCCAAAATGGCCACTGCTGACTGGGGGGGCACAGGTTTGGAGTGCTCCTCCCCACCCATCCCCTTCACTAACCTCAAGGTGGAGACGGATGAGAACTTGGGGGACAAAATGGGGGAGCCAAGATGGCCGCCCCACATCCAAGATGGCCACTATGGGGAAAGGGAACAGGCCCTCCCCAGCCCCACTGGGCCTGATCTCATGGTGGAAGAGGACAAAAGACTGGGGGGGGCCCGGAAATGGGGATTTGCCCCCAGGTACTTGGCGGGCAGGAGGCCGAGGGGGCACAGTGACAAGGGGGGAGTCCCCTGAAATATGAGGCCTTTTCACTCTCACACTCCGCGTCAGTGTCTCCTTTCGCTGCAGTCTTTACTGCTTCTCTATGCCAGGATGCCTGGGTTCTCTGCCGCTGGGGGTGGGTGGTTGGGGTGGGGGTGAGGATGCCTGGGTTTTCTCCTGACAGGTTTTGGGGTTCAGAGGGGTGTTCTGGGGGGTGTCTGAGGTCAGGCCCAGCTTGGGCCCTTAACCTGGCAGACACTGGGCTTGTCCGTTCTGTGCCCCCTCCCTGCTCTCAGAATACCCCACCTGGGCAAAATTAGCATATGCATATCAGACATTTGAATATATTACTGGTCCCAAACAGGCCTCCCTCTGCCCCCCATCCCCCACCATTGCAGGGGATATGCCCTCACTCTGGGCTCAGGAAGGGGCAGAGCCCATGGCTGGCTGGGGGAAGGGCAGGTGAGGGTAACGGCAGCCCTGTCGGGTCCCTCAGTAGGGGTCAGAGTGAACAACTCCGGAGGGCGGAAGGGGCGGAGAGCACCACGCGCTGTGGGCGGGAGGGGGCCAGAGCTAGCCCCGCCCCGCCCTCGACGCTACCCCGCCCTCTCGCAGCCCCGCCCCCCGGCGCTCCCATTGGCTGCCGGCCCCGCCCTCCCGCAGCTCGCCACGCGCCCAGGCCGTGGAACCCGCCCCCCGGCAGAGCGAGGACGGGAGAAAAGGCGGGAAACGAGGCTGCACCGTGACGTACCCGCGCCCCCTCTTGAAGGGTGAGCTCGGTCCCCCCGAGCCTGTTCTCACCGCGGTCCGACCCCGCCCGCGCAGGAGGGACGCTGTCGGGGAGCCAGAAGGGGCCGGGGGGGGGCGAGCCCGGAAGGGGCTGGGGGGGGGCGATGCCTGGGGGGAGGAGCGCTGGCCCGGAAGGGGCTGGGGGGGCGAGAGCCCGGAAGGGGCTGGGGGAGGGGCGATGCCCGGGGAGGGGGCGAGCCCGGAAGGGGCTGGGGGAGGGGCGATGCCCGGGGGGGGCGAGCCCGGAGGGGGCTGGGGGAGGGCCGATGCCCGGGGAGGGGGCGAGCCCGGAAGGGGCTGGGGGGGGCGAGCCCGGAGGGGGCTGGGGGAGGGGCGATGCCCGGGGGGGGGCGAGCCCGGAGGGGGCTGGGGGAGGGGCGATGCCCGGGGAGGGGGTGAGCCCGGAAGGGGCTGGGGGAGGGGCGATGCCCGGGGAGGGGGCGAGCCCGGAGGGGGCTGGGGGAGGGGCGATGGCTGGGGGAGGGGCGATGCCCGGGGGGAGGAGCGCTGGCCTGGGCGCTCTTTGAAAGGGGTGTCCGTGGAAGGCCCCCCCACCATGGTGGTAGGCCTTCAGGGGTCCTACCCTACTGCAGTGGGAGCTGGGCATGGGCTGCCCCCTACCCCTGGGGGCCCAGCTCGGCATAGGCTGGGTGCCCCCTGGCTGACTGGTAGGTCTGGGGGCACCCAAGAGGGGGGCCGGGATGAGGCCCCACTGAGCCCACGCGTCTCTTGCAGCGGGTGATGGCTGTGCCGACCAGGGTGCCGGAGGACGTGGGTGCTGAGCTGCTGGGCCCAGGTAAGTGCGGGAGGGGCCAGGCTGGGTGGGGGGTGCCCCTTGCTCCCCCTCACTGTGTCTCCCCACAGCTGGCGGTGCCTGCCTGCCCCCATGCCAGCTAACGGAGGAGGATGCGAGTGCCCACCCTGGCTTGACCAATCTGCTGCTCGGCCTGACCCCCTATCTGGACCTCAGCGGGCTCAGCGCCCCCCCTGGCCCGCCAGCTAGAGCAGGTATGTGTGGGGACGCCCTGAGGGAGGGTGGCTGCCCTGCTGCACCCCGCTCACCCTCTTCTCACCCCCTGCAGGCGGGGAAGGAGCTGCAGCTGCGTCGGGCAGCTTGGCTGCGCTGGGAGGCCCTGCACCGGCTCCTGCAGGAGGCACTGATGGAGCAGGGAGCTGGCATGGAGGACGCCAGCCCTGCCCTGCCGGACAGGAAGGTGCACTGGGGGAGAACTGGGGGGCTCGGTGACAACAGAGCAGGGATTGGGCGCTGGGCTGGGATTCAGGCTCAGGAAGAGTGGGGCTATGGGGTAGGGGGGGCATGGGAGACGGGTTTGGGGGCTCAAGAATGGGGGACATGGTGGAGGGATTGGGGAGAGGGTGATGGGCTTCGGGGCTCGGGATGGGGGAGGGATTGAGGAGGGACTTGGGGGCTCGGGATGGGGGAGGGATTGGGGAGAGGGGGAAGGGGTTTGGGGTCTCGGGATGGGGGAGGGAGAGAGGGAGGGGCTTGGGAGTTCAGGGGATGGGGAGGGATTGGGCAGAGGGGGAGGAGTTTGGGGGCTCAGGGGAAGGGAGGGACGAGGGGGAGAGGCTTGGGGACTCAGGGGATGGGGAGGGATTGGAGGGGGAGGGGTTTGGGGGCTCAGGGGTGCAGGGAAGGCAAAGGGGATAGGGAAGTCCCTGGGTATGAGGGGGTGGGGAAGAGCTGGGGGTCACGGGGTGGGGGAGGGGTTAGCTGGGGGTGGGCAGTGTTTGGGGAACGGGGGGCGGTGTCCCCACACTCCCTGACCCGTTTCCTTCCCCCCAGATCCTGGAGACGCTGGAGCAGCGGCTGCTGCTGGGGGAGCTGAGCCGCATCCTGGAGCCAGGCCCTTCGCTGCGTGGCTCCCGGCCCCCCCCTGCTGGGCCTGGGGGCCCCTGACCTGCTGGCGCTGCTGCCCCCGAGCCAGGTAACCCAGCTCTTCTGGACAGGGAGGGGAGGGACCCTGGCGCCCGGGAGCTGAGCCCTCTCTCTGTCTGCCCTCCGCGGTGCAGGACCTGGCGCGGCTGCAGCAGCACCTCCCCCAGGAGATTGAGGAGCGGCTGCGGCGCAAGGGGCTAGCCCTGCTGGGCTACCACCGGCCCGAGAGTGGTGAGTGGGCGTGGGGCGGGGGCGGGCCCAGGGTCAGGAGGAGGGAGCCGCTCTGACCCCTGTTCCCGCAGACCGCGCGGGGAGACGGCGCGCTGCGCCATGCTCTGCACCCTGGCCGAGGGGCTGGCCGCGGAGCAGCGGCGCCGGCAGGCAGCCCGGAGCCGGCGCCGGGACCTCATGGGGCTGCTGGAGAGGCAGAGAGCCGCCTACCCGCAGGTATGGGCCGGGCCGGGAGGGGTGGGGCGGGGCGGGGCCGCCCCTCTGAGCCGCTCAGCCCCTCTCTCCCCCAGGTTCTCCTGCACTGCCTGGGCCTGCTGCAGCGCCTGGCCCAGGAGCACCGGCTCGGCTCCCAGGCTGCGCTGGACCGCCTCAACACCCACTACCTGGAGGTGAAGTGCAGCGCCATGTTCCTCAAGATCCGGTGAGTGCGGCCGGGCACAGGTCACCCTCCGGGCGGGCTGGGGTCCGAGCTCATCGGCAGCTGGGAGGTTTGGGGCTCGGCGGGGACACGGGAGCCGGGGCCGGCTCGCTGGCTGTGGCTCGGCGGTGACTTGCCCAGCCCCAGTGGCCCCGAGGACGAAGTTGGGGGAGTTGTGGGGTGCCGGCTCAGGGCTCTCTGCCGTGCGCTGTCTCCGCAGGCTGGAGGAGCTGAGCGTGCTGGTGGACACCTACTCGCCGGAGAAGGTGGAGGTGCATCGGGCCATCAGGTACGGTGGGGTTCCGGTGGGGCAGCGGGTGGGGGCCCCGGCTAGCACTCACCCCTCCCCTCTCCCCAGGGCCAGCCTGCAGGGCGCCGTGCAGCAGCAGGAGCAGGAGCTGGCCACGGCTCGGAAGATCCTGGCCGCCTACGAGAGCCTGGGGCCCGAGTTCGAGGGGCTGGTGCAGGAGTACGCCCAGCTGTGCGGGAGCATCGAGAACAAGCGCTGGGCCCTGCAGGAATTCAACAAGGGCTGTCACTGACGGGGGGCTCGGGCCCCACTTTCCGGGGCTCAAATAAACATGGCAATGGATCCCCTGGCTCGGTGCGCTTGGCATCCTTCCTGCGTCACGGCCCCCCACCCCCTGTGCCTGCTAGATCCTGCTCCCCGCCCCGAGCCAACGTAGAACCCAGGAGTCCTGATACCAGCCCCCACTGTCTGCTAGACCCCGCACCCCTCCCTGAGCCAGCATGGAACCAAGGAGTCCTGCCCCCAGCTCTGACTGAGGGACCCCCCGACCCTCCCCAAGCCAGTGTGGAACCCAGGTGTCCTGGCTCCCTGGCCCCCCTGCTCTTAGCCAGTGGCTCCCAGCACCCATCACTGTAGCACACTATCCCCTGTGATGCCCGTTTGTCCTGGCAGTGCCAGGACCGGGCTGCAGTTCAGTGCCTGGTGAAACTCTAGCAAAGGGCCCCACGGGCTGGGAGAAGGGAAATCTGCCCTCTGGATCCATGGGAGGGGCAGGGAGCCTGGGCCACGGTCCCTCCCCAAGGGCTCCTAGCTCAGTGAGTGGGGGCGGGGGAAGGTCTCTCCTGGCCCAGTGGCTGGGGAGAAGCTAGGTCTAAAGGGGGAGAATGGGGGGTTTGGAGGGGAGAGGGGTCCCAGGGCTGGCAGGGGTCCCCCAGCTAGTTCAGTGCAGAGCCGCCAGCGAGGGAGGGACTCCAGGGGTCTCGGAGCTCGGCTGGCACCACAACAGGCGAGGAAATTCAGCGGCGAGAAGTGCCCAGTGACGCGCCCTGGGACCCCAATCCCTGCTCCGCCCCTGCGAGAGATCTGGCAAACAGCCGCTCGCTGCGCAGCCGCCCTCGGAAAAGCTCCCGGCGCCTTAGGAGAGAGAACGAGACAGGAAACCCCAGTGCCCACCCCTGGCATCCCGCACGCACAGATCCAGGGCACTGGGAGAAAGGCCAGAACCAGGCTGCAGGGGCTGGAGCGGGCTCCATGCGAGGAGAGATGGCAAAGCCGGGGCCTGCTCCGCGGGGAGAAGGGGCGACCATGGGGCCACGGCAGAGGGCCGGGGCGGAGACTGTGACGAGGGCCTTGTTATTTGCTCCTTCACATAACACAAGAATTAGGGGTCACCCAATGAAAGGAAGAGGCGGCAGCTTTAAAACAAACCTAGGCAAGTATTTCTTCCCATGGTGCCAAGTTAACCTGTGGAACTCACTGCCAGGGGCTGGGCTGAGGCCAGAAGTAGAAGGGGTTTGACACAATGAGCCATGTTCCTGGAGGCCGGGTCCAGTGACAGCCATTGGCCAAGCTGGTCAGGGACGCAGCCCCCTGCGCCAGCTGGCCCCAAAGCTTGGGGTGGATCACTGGATAATTGCCCTGGTCTGTTGGCAGCCAGGAGCCAGGGCTGCCTGGGCCACAGGGGGTGACCTGTTACAGCGTTCTTATAGCCCTACTCCCCACCTAGGGCTGGGCACAGAACCCAGGAGTCCTGGCACCTCACCCCACCCCCCTGTGAGGTGGGCACAGAGCCCAGGCGTCCGGGCTCCCCCCCACTCTAACCCCCTCCCCCTCGCTGTGGGGTGGGCACAGAACCCAGGCGTCCGGGCTCCCGGCCCTAAATGAAAAGCCTGAGTGGAACGAGGTGGGCGGGGCCCGCGGCTGGTGACGAGGGGCCCGACCGGGGACAAAACAGAGCCGAGCCAGCCAGGAGTCGAACCTAGAATCTTCTGATCCGTAGTCAGACGCGTTATCCATTGCGCCACTGGCCCCGCCAGGCTGAGTGCGCAGCAGCCGCTCCTATAGCGCCGAGCCAGGGCTGCTGGGAGACGTAGTCCGCCGCTTGGGGACGGCGGAGAGAGATGCACACGCACACCTGGCGCCTGCTGGGAAATCCGTCTTCCTCCATGGAGAGTGAGGCATGGTGGGAAATGTAGGCCACAAGCGAGAGACAGGCGCTATCCTGTCCGCCGAAAAGGCGCCGAGCATGACGGGAAAGTGAGTGCAGGGCTCCCATGGGCGCAATGCACGGTGGGTAATAGAACCTTAGCACCCCATAAACCCCACGGCCGCAATGCATTGTGGGCAATGTGGTCTTGGCGGAGAGGCTGTTCGGTCCTGGCGCTGGACATGCAGGGAAATGTAGTCCTTGCCTCGCGAAGCGCATGAAGGGAAATGGAACCGTCCTCGTGCCACCGACTCGATTGGTTCTCGCCGGCTTGGCCCGCCCCTCCGCTCCCCGATTGGCCGCCTGGACCGGAAGCGCGCTGTGGTTGGCCGGCAGGGCGCGACGCGGCTCTGTGATTGGCCGGCCGGGCTGGGGGCGCGTCTGGCAGCGATGGCGGCGGCGACGGCAGCGGCTCCGGGTCCGTGCGGGGCGGGGGGGCCCCGCGTGTCCAGCGGCCGGGACCTGAGCTGCGTCCCGGAGGTGGCGGAGACCCTGGGGGCCGTGGCTCGGCAGGGGTGAGACCACGTGACCCGCCCACGTGGCCACCGCCCCGCCCCCTCCAAGCCCCGCTCATGTGGCGGCGAATTGCCCGGCCTCCCACCCCCCCCGCAGCCTGGGGACCCCCCCGCGCCGGCCTCCCCTCCCCCCCTGCCCCTGGAGCCCCTCCCCCATCCCGGGCCGGCCTCCCCTCCCCCCCTGCCCCTGGAGCCCCTCCCCCATCCCGGGCCGGCCTCCCCTCCCCCCCTGCCCCTGGAGCCCCTCCCCCATCCCGGGCCGGCCTCCCCTCCCCCCCTGCCCCTGGAGCCCCTCCCCCATCCCGGGCCGGCCTCCCCTCCCCCCCTGCCCCTGGAGCCCCTCCCCCATCCCGGGCCGGCCTCCCCTCCCGCCCTGCCACTGGAGCCCCTCCCCCATCCCGGGCCGGCCTCCCCTCCCCCCCTGCCCCTGGAGCCCCTCCCCCATCCCGGGCCGGCTTCCCCTCCCGCCCTGCCATTGGAGCCCCTCCCCCATCCCGGGCCAGCCTCCTCCCCCGGAACCCCTCCCCCATCTCGGACCAGCTTGGGGCTTGGCGGGATCGCACCCAGGGGGATCTGGGGCTCTGCTGGGCTGGGGAACTCCCCGCCACTGGATGAAGCTCCCAGGCCCTTGTCCTCTAGCCCAGCCCTCCGTCTCTCTGCAGGTTCGATTTCCTGTGCATGCCGGTCTTCCACCCACGCTACCGCCGGGAGTTCAGCCATCAGCCGGCCAGTGGCCGCCCTGGCCCCCACACCCGCTCCGACCTGCTGCTCTCGGGGAGAGGTGAGCCCCCCTGCCCCCCACTGGACTTCCCAGTGCCATCTGCCCCCCCTCCGAGCTGGCTGTGCCTCCTAATACTCCCAGGACAGCACCCCCTGCTGAGATCCCACTGCAGTCCTGGCCTTGGAGTCCCCCCTGCGTTGTCTGTGCCCCCCGCTGGGCTGCCGGGCATTATCTGGGCCCCCCAGCCTAGGGAGAGTGACCCCGCATTAGGCTGCCTGGTGGCATGTCTATTCCCCTGCACCCTAGAATCCTAGAATATCAGGGTTGGAAGGGCCCTCAGGAGGTCACCTAGTCCAACCCCCTGGTCAAAGCAGGACCAATCCCCAATTTTTGCCCCAGATCCCTAAACGGCCCCCTCAAGGATTGAGCTCACAACCCTGGGTTTAGCAGACCAATGCTCAAACCATTGAGCTATCCCTCCCCTTGCTGGGGTGCCCCCTGCGCTGTGGATCTCACCCAATCTCGCCCCCCCCAGACTGGAACACACTGATTGTGGGGAAGCTGTCTCCCTGGATCCGCCCGGACGCAAAGGTGGAGGCAGTCCGCAGGAACTCAGAGGCGGTGAGTGGGGGGCTGGGAGCCCAGGGAAGGGGGGGGAGATTATAACAGCCCTGGGGGTTAGGGGAGAGGTGATAGTGGGGTGGGGAGGAGGTGTCACGGTGGGGGGAGGGTGGGATAGACCGTGAGGGGAGGGGTTACTCTGGGGGAGTGAGTGGGGGTACACAGTCTCCTCTCTCCCCAGGCAATGCTGCAGGAGCTGAACTTTGGGGCATACCTGGGGCTCCCTGCATTCCTGCTGCCCCTGACGCAGGGCGAGAACCCCAACCTGGCCCGGGTGCTGAGTACCCACATCCACACCGGGCACCACAGCACCATGGTGAGTGCAGGGCTGGGCGGAGGGGGGAAGGGGGTGTGGCTGTGACTAACCCTTCATTTCACCCCCCACCCCCCCCAGTTCTGGATGCGGGTCCCCCTGCTGGCCCCTGAGGATCTGCGGGACGACCTGATCGAGAATGAGCCGGTGCCGGTGCCCGAGGACGGCTCGGGGGATGAGAAGACATGGATATGGTGAGGGGGGCAGGGGACCTGGGGGCACTGCTGGGGGGAAGCACGCAGCCCCAGAGCCTGCTTTTAACTGAGGCAAGCACATGTGATGTGGGGAGGCGTCCTGTTGGGGCTGAGGTTAGGGATCTGGGGGAGAGGGGGGCAATGCACAAAGGGGAACTGGGGGGGCACCGAGGGAGGGCAGGATCTTGTTCCCTATTCACTGTCCCCCATTTCTCTGCAGGTGGCACGATTTCCGGACCCTCTGTGACTACAACAAGCGCATTGCAGTGGGTGAGTGTGGGGTGGGGGCACTGCTGCGGGGAAGCTCGCAGCACTGGGGCAGGGGATGGCAGGTTTCTTGACCCCTGTTTTCTGCCCCCTCCAGCCTTGGAGGTGGGGCCAGACCTGCCCTCCAATCACGTCATCGACCGCTGGCTGGGGGAGCCAATCAAAGCGGCCATCCTGCCCACTAGCATCTTCCTGACCAATAAGAAGGGTTTTCCCGTCCTCTCCAAGATGCACCAGCGCCTGGTCTTCCGCCTGCTGAAGGTGAGCCCTGCCCAGGCTCCGCCCACCCAGATCTCCTGGCCCCACCCTCTGAAGCCATGCCCACCCGGAGCCCTGCCCTCCTTGATCCTGTCTCAGTCACTGAGCCACGCCCCCACCTTCCCAAGGTGCACCATCTCCTGCTACACACTAAGCTCTCCAGGCCCCCTCCTAGCTGGGGACACTGCTGTGGGGAAGCTCCCAGCACTGGGATGGAGGAAGGGTGTGACCCCCATTTTCCATCCCCACTTCACTGTGGAGGTTCTATGCTCTGGGGGGAGTATCCCAGGGGCTTGTCTCCCCATGCTGGGGGTCAGGGCGGGTCAGGCTGTGGGGGGGCATTGTCGCTGTCTAACCCCGCCCCCGCCCCCCAGCTGGAGGTGCAGTTCATCGTGTGGGGCGCTCACCACCACCCCGAGAAGGAGTTCTGCTCTTACCTGCAGTACCTGGAGTACCTGAGCCAGAACCGGCCCCCACCCTCCGCCTATGAGCTCTTCGCCAAGGGGTACGAGGACTATCTGCAGTCCCCCCTGCAGGTGAGCGACCACGGCTGTCATCGGTGTGGCTCAGGGTGAACGCCGTCATAGCACTGGGGCTAAGACCCATGGCTCACAAAATAGCTTCTTCAATGTTCACGGCTAACATTGCCAACTGACATTGTTAGGGCCCAGGGTTAACACGGCAATATTGTTACAGCTTGGACCAGCATCCTGTCCCACCATCATTAGGGTTCAGAGTTAACAGGGATTGGTCCAGCATCATATTCCCCCATCATTAAGGTCCAGGGTTAGGGCAAGTTGGGTTAGCGTCATATCCACCATCCTAGGCTGCAGGGTTAACAGGGCTTGGCCAGTATTCTATCTCATCATCATTAGGGTTCAGGATGAATGCTGCCTCGTGCTGGGGTTGGGTCTCATAGGTATCAGAGTGGCATAACTTGGATCCAGGGCCAACATTCTTGTGTCATCATTAGGGTTCAGAGTTAACATCATAACTTGCCAGGATTTCAGGACAGCATTGCACCACAATGTCATTAGGGCTCAGGGTGAACTCTGCTAGAGCACTGTCATTGGGCCTTGTGGCTGCCGACTCACCTTTATTCATGCAGTATCACCTAGTGTCATTGTGACGCCTGTGGGCTATTGGGTGCCCATTGTTAGGGTTCTGAGGGGATGCCCCGTGACTATGCAATGTTGATGCATCTGTCATCTGCATTCAGAGTGAACATCTCATGTCAGAGTTCATCATTAGGGCCCAGAGTGAACACTTCTCTTGGTGGGCTTGGCGTGCATCATTAGGGTTCAGAGTGAATGTCACTGGCTCTGCAGTGCAATGGGGGGTTCTTCCTACTCCCTGCCCTCCTCACGCTGCTCTCCCCTCCTCCCGCAGCCCCTGATGGACAACCTGGAGTCCCAGACCTATGAGGTCTTTGAGAAGGACCCCATCAAATACTCCCAGTACCAACAGGTGTGGGGGAGCTGGGCCATGAACAGGGGGAGGGGCTTTGGTGGGCAGGACCTAGCTAAGGGGGTGGGGCCAGAGGGAAGGAGGAGTGGCTGTGGGAAGGGGTGGGGCCTGTGGCGAGGGGTAATGGGAGCAAGGCCTAGTGGGTGAGGGTTCAGGGAGGGTGGGGCAATGGGGGCAGGGTGTATTTGGGGGTGGGGCCTGGGGGGAGGAGTGTGGTGTGGGGGCAGGATCTGAGGGGGGCAGTTGGGGGGGGGCTGCAGGGCTCCCCAGAGACTACCCCCTCTCCTCTACCCCCCAGGCGATCTATAGGTGCCTGCTGGACCGGGTGCCTGAAGAGGAGAAGGAGACGAATGTGCAGTGAGTGATGCCCCGCCCCTCCATGGCAACGCCCCACCCCTCAGTTATACCCCTCCCACCTGGTGCTGCCCCAGCCCCATGGGACATGGCTCGCCTGACAACCTGACCTGGTGATGCTCCTGAAGGCCACTCGGATCCTTCCCCCCCCGATGGGGAGATCCATCCCCCTGGCACCCCCTTTGTGCTGCCCTCTGACCTCCCTCTGTGCCCCTCAGGGTAGTGATGGTGCTGGGAGCCGGCCGGGGCCCCCTGGTCAATGCCACGCTGCGGGCGTCCCGCCAGGCCGGCCGGCGGGTGAAGATCTATGCCGTGGAGAAGAACCCCAACGCTGTGGTGACGTGAGTGCCCCCGTGCTGGCCCTGCCCCATATTCAACCCCCCTCCCCCTCCCAAGTTAAAGCCTGCTGAGACTAGGCCCATTGTCTGTGTGTTTATCCATCCCTCACCCCCTGAGACCTGGTGTAGGAGAACGGAGGAGATCCAGGGGCTGGCAGTTCCTTGGGTTAACCCTCACTCCCTGCAGACTGGACAGCTGGCAGTAGGAGTGGGGGGCATACAGTGACAGGCAGTTCCCCAGGTTAACCCCATGACTCTGACAGGCTGGAGAGCTGGCAGTATGAAGGGGCGCAATCGCAGTAGGAGGGGATCCAGTGGTGGGCAGTTCCCTGGGTTAGCCCCACACCAACCCGAAGGCTGGAGCACTGGCAGCAGGATGGGGGGATATAGCGGTGGGCAGTTCCCTGGTTTAATCTGGAGTGCTCGTGGTAGGAGCGGGGAGCCAGTGGCGGACAGTTCCCTGGATTAACTCTGCACTCCCCGCAGCCTGGAGAGCTGGCAGTACGAGGAGTGGGGCTCGCAGGTGACCGTGGTATCGTCTGACATGCGGGACTGGACGGCCCCTGAGCAGGCCGATCTCCTGGTGTCGGAGCTGCTGGGCTCCTTTGCTGACAACGAGCTGTCCCCCGAGTGCCTGGACGGGGCGCAGCACTGCCTGCGGGGTGAGCAGGCTCCGGGGGTGGGGGGAGCTGTGGGTCGGGCAGGGGGAGCAGTGGGAGGTGTTGGTGGGGGGCAGGGGGAGGAGCTGGTGGGGCATGGGGGGGAGTTGTGGAGGGTTGCTGGGCAGGGAGGCAGGTTTGGTGTGGGGCGCTTGTTGCCCCAATGTCTGACGCCCTCCTCTCCCCCCCGCCCCATTCTCCAGCGGGCGGCGTGAGCATCCCCAGCACTTACACGTCCTTCCTGGCACCCATCTCCTCCTCCAAGCTGTACAACGAGGTGCGCGCCTGTCGGGAGAAGGACCGGCACCCCGAGGTGAGCCCCCCAACCACGCCCCCCACATGCCTCCTTCCTGGCCTCCAGTCCTCCTGTCCCCCGCCAGTCTGAACCCCCCCCCCACCCCCCCAGCTCGGTCAGGGGTTGCCCAGGTGCTGTCTGGCAGGGGCTGGGGGTCACGCTCTGACCAGGTCTCTCTCCCCCCCCCACCCTCCCCCAGGCGCAGTTTGAGATGCCCTATGTCGTGCGGCTCCACAACTTCCACCAGCTGGCACCACCCCAGCCCTGCTTCACCTTCCACCACCCGCACCCAGGTAGGGCGCTGGGGCGGGGCCTGAGCTGACCACACCCCTGTGGGGTGGGGAGGGGAGGGGCCTGAGCTGACCACACCCTTCTAGGAGAAAGTTCTCCCCTAACCTCCCCCCTTTGGGCAGACCCAGACCGGGACAAGAGCCAGTACCGGCAGCTGGAGTTCGCGGTGGAGGTGAACACTGTGCTGCACGGCTTCGCCGGCTACTTCGAGACCACGCTCTACGGCGACGTCACACTCAGTGAGTGCGGGGCCGGGGGCTGCTGGGCCAGAAGGGGGGGCAGGGCGCAGCTGGGGGCTTGTGGGGGGCAGGGCCAGGGCACTGGGATGGGGTCAGGGTGCAGTGGGGGGATGTCAGGGGAAGTGGGGAAGCCTGGTTGAGGAGGGCGGGGCTGGAGATTTTCCTGGTTGGGCAGATCCAGAGGGGCAAGGCTCCCCAGGTGGGGGGAGGGGTGGAGGTTGCCCAGGCCGGCAGGGGGGCAGGTCTGGGGGGGAGGCTGCCGAGGCTCAGGGGGGCAGATCTGGGGGGGAGGCTCCCTAGGTATTGGGGGGAGGGGTGGAGGTTGCGCAGGGGGGCAGGTCTGGGGGGAGGCTCCCTAGGTATTGGGGGGAGGGGGGCAGGTTGCCCAGGCTGGTGGGGGGGGCAGGTCTGGGGGGAGGCTCCCTAGGTATTGGGGGGAGGGGGTGGAGGTTGCCCAGGCTGGTGGGGGGGCAGGTCTGGGGGGGAGGCTCCCTAGGTATTGGGGGGAGGGGGCAGGTTGCCCAGGCTGGTGGGGGGGCAGGTCTGGGGGGGAGGCTCCCTAGGTATTGGGGGGAGGGGTGGAGGTTGCCCAGGCCGGCAGGGGGGCAGGTCTGGGGGGGAGGCTCCCTAGGTATTGGGGGGAGGGGTGGAGGTTGCCCAGGCTGGTGGGGGGGGGCAGGTCTGGGGGGGAGGCTGCCGAGGCTCAGGGGGCAGGTCTGGGGGGAGGCTCCCTAGGTATTGGGGGGAGGGGGCAGGTTGCCCAGGCTGGTGGGGGGGGCAGGTCTGGGGGGGGAGGCTCCCTAGGTATTGGGGGAGGGGTGGAGGTTGCCCAGGCCGGCAGGGGGGGCAGGTCTGGGGGGGGAGGCTCCCTAGGTATTGGGGGGAGGGGGCAGGTTGCCCAGGCTGGTGGGGGGGCAGGTCTGGGGGGGGAGGCTGCCGAGGCTCAGGGGGGCAGGTCTGGGGGGGAGGCTGCCGAGGCTCAGGGGGGCAGGTCTGGGGGGGGAGGCTCCCTAGGTATTGGGGGGAGGGGGTGGAGGTTGCCCAGGCCGGCAGGGGGGCAGGTCTGGGGGGAGGCTCCCTAGGTATTGGGGGGGAGGGGTGGAGGTTGCCCAGGCCGGCAGGGGGGCAGGTCTGGGGGGGGGAGGCTCCCTAGGTATTGGGGGGAGGGGGCAGGTTGCCCAGGCTGGTGGGGGGGGCAGGTCTGGGGGGGGGAGGCTCCCTAGGTATTGGGGGGAGGGGTGGAGGTTGCCCAGGCCGGCAGGGGGGCAGGTCTGGGGGGAGGCTCCCTAGGTATTGGGGGGAGGGGTGGAGGTTGCCCAGGCCGGCAGGGGGGCAGGTCTGGGGGGGAGGCTCCCTAGGTATTGGGGGGGAGGGGTGGAGGTTGCCCAGGCCGGCAGGGGGGCAGGTCTGGGGGGAGGCTCCCTAGGTATTGGGGGGAGGGGGCAGGTTGCCCAGGCTGGTGGGGGGGGCAGGTCTGGGGGGGGAGGCTCCCTAGGTATTGGGGGGAGGGGTGGAGGTTGCCCAGGCCGGCAGGGGGGCAGGTCTGGGGGGGGAGGCTCCCTAGGTATTGGGGGGAGGGGGCAGGTTGCCCAGGCTGGTGGGGGGGCAGGTCTGGGGGGGAGGCTCCCTAGGTATTGGGGGGAGGGGTGGAGGTTGCCCAGGCCGGCAGGGGGGCAGGTCTGGGGGGGAGGCTCCCTAGGTATTGGGGGGAGGGGTGGAGGTTGCCCAGGCCGGCAGGGGGGCAGGTCTGGGGGGGAGGCTCCCTAGGTATTGGGGGGAGGGGGCAGGTTGCCCAGGCTGGTGGGGGGGGGCAGGTCTGGGGGGGGAGGCTCCCTAGGTATTGGGGGGAGGGGTGGAGGTTGCCCAGGCCGGCAGGGGGGCAGGTCTGGGGGGGGAGGCTCCCTAGGTATTGGGGGGAGGGGGCAGGTTGCCCAGGCTGGTGGGGGGGGCAGGTCTGGGGGGGGAGGCTCCCTAGGTATTGGGGGGAGGGGTGGAGGTTGCCCAGGCCGGCAGGGGGGCAGGTCTGGGGGGGAGGCTCCCTAGGTATTGGGGGGAGGGGGGCAGGTTGCCCAGGCTGGTGGGGGGGGCAGGTCTGGGGGGGAGGCTCCCTAGGTATTGGGGGGAGGGGTGGAGGTTGCCCAGGCCGGCAGGGGGGCAGGTCTGGGGGGGGAGGCTCCCTAGGTATTGGGGGGAGGGGGCAGGTTGCCCAGGCTGGTGGGGGGGGCAGGTCTGGGGGGGGAGGCTCCCTAGGTATTGGGGGGAGGGGTGGAGGTTGCCCAGGATGGTGGGGGGGGGCAGATGAGGGGGGAGGCTGCCGAGGCTCGGGGGGGAGATCTGGGGGGGAAGCTCCCCCGGTGGGGGGGCTCCGTGCGGGGGGAGGGGCAGAGGGTGCCGGGGGGGTCCTGGCCCCCGTCTCACGCCCCCTCCCCCCAGGTATCCGGCCCGAGACGCACTCCCCCGGCATGTTCTCCTGGTTCCCCATCTTCTTCCCCATCAAGGTGAGCGGCCCCCGCCCCAGGGGGCTCCCCGGCGGGGGGGCAGTGTCCTCACGGGGGAGGGGGAAGCCGTAGGGCGTGTCCCCGGGGAGGGGGCGGGGCTTGGCCAGGGGCGGGGCTTGGCGCGGCCTGACGCTCCCTCTCTTCCCCACAGCAGCCGCTGGCGGTGCGCGCGGGCGAGCGCGTGCGCGTGGCCTTCTGGCGCTGCGCGGCCCCGCGCAAGGTGTGGTACGAGTGGGCGGTGACGGCGCCCGGCTGCTCCGCCCTGCACAACCCCAGCGGCCGCTCCTCCACCATCGGCCTCTGAACGGGCGCCACGTCAGTGAGACCCCGCCCCCTCCGTCTCGGCCTGTGAGTGGCCCGGACGTCACCGGGGGCGGGGCCTGGACCGAGACCCCGCCCCACGCGGCCCTCCCTCCCCTCTCTGTCCACGGTCCGTGCGTTTCAATAAAGCTTTCTGTCTGGGCCCTTGTGTGTGTCTGTCTCCGGCGGGAGAGGGGCGCCCTCCCGTTGTCATGGCAACCAGCCCCCTGAGCGCAGCCGTGCGAGTGGGGATAGGTTACTGACGCTGCTGTACCGCCCCTCTTCGTTCTGGGCCAATCAGCGTTGCTGTTGTGAGCCAAGCCACATCCGCTGACTCATCTTCAACCACTCAGGGTGGTCGCTGTCCGCCAAGTCCCGCCTCACCTGCCAATCACCCTGCGGCCGCGGGGGAAGCGGCGCGCCCCCCGGCTCCGGGCCAAACAGCGAGGCCACGGCGAGAAAAGGCCCGACCCCTTCTCTCTCTCGCTCAATCATCGCTGGAGCCGACGCAAAAACACCCCGTCCCCTCCAAACTCTGCGCCAATCAGCGCCGCCCTCTCTGGGAACTGACCAATCAGCAACGGCGCTGTTCCAACCCGCGTCCCCTTGCCGACCCCGGCCAATCAGCGCCGTTCCGCTCATCCAATCAGGGTCGCGCTGCCGCCCCGTTCGCGGCTGCGCGCGAAGCTTCTGGGGGGAGGGGAAGGTTCTGGAGGCAGCCGCGGCCTCCGCCATCTTAGCGCCGCGTCCGGCCGCGGAGAAACCCGGAGCCCAAGGAACCGGCGCCACCCCGGAGGAGGGTGAGAGTGGGGGCAGGGTGACGTCATGGCACGGGGGGCACCTCACGGGGGGTGAAGGTGATAACGTCAGTGTCCCGTGAGGGGGGTGGGCACTAGCGCGGGGTTCTAGAATGCTGGGCGGAGGGGTTCGTGGGAGGCTTAGAACGCGAAGGACGGTGCTGGGCGGGGCTTGCAAGGGGCTTTAGAACGCTGGGGGCTTAGGGGCGGGGCTAAGAGTTTGGGCGGGGCTTGGAAGAGGGCTTAGAACGCGGGGGGCTTGGGGGCGGGGCTACGGGGCGGGGTGGGGCTTGCAAGGGGCATAGAACGCGGGGGGCGGGGCTTGCTGCAGGGATAGAACAGTCGGGAGGGGTGGCATCAAAGTCTAGAATGTGGAGGCGGGGCCTAGAAGGGGGGTTCTAGAGTGGAGGGGTTCTAGAGCAGAGGTTCCTTCAAGCAGGTTGGGACTTGGGGTCTTGCTAGGCCCTTGGCCAGATGAAGGGGGTGCCCTGCGCGCATCAGCATCCCGGGTCCTGGGTCTGTAGAACCGGTCTGGAATTGGGAAGGGTCGAGAGCAGGCCTGGCTCCCTGGGGATCTAGAGCAGACTCTGGCCCAGGATTTAGAGCCGTGACGCTCTCGGGGCGGCATGCTGGAGATGGGGTGCTCTAGAACAGGCCTGGCTGTGTCTCCCAAGGTGTTCCTCAGACCTAGGGGTGGTGTCTCCTCTGAATGTTTGGAATTGGGTGGGGGGGCTAGAGCAGGGTGGATGCCAGGAAGGAGGTGACTTGTGGGTGGCTCTTTCTCCTCCACTGGTTTTGAAGCCCCCAGCCTGGGACTGACAGCCTGCTCTGGAATAGGGACTTTTCTGGAGCCAGGCTCAATACATGGCGGGGGAGGGGTATCTTGCAAAGTGCTCCAGACTGGTAGTGGGGCAGCAAAGGGACATGGGTCCGGAACATCTGGGACCCCTAGCCTGACATCGGGTAGGGGGGTTTGGAGCGTGCAGGCTAGAACGATTGGGGGTCCCCCCCATGCTCACCACACCCCGTCTCTCCGCAGGACTCGTCTGAGAGCCGCTCAAGCCCGGAGTCTGCCCTGCCCTTCGGGGGTGGGGCACCCCCGGCACGCTCCATGGAGCCGGGGGTCTCAAATCCGCTGCAGGAGCCCGTGAGTACCCCGCTCCCCTCGGCTGTGGCTCCCTGGATGGGGCCCCGAGGGGTCGGCCTGGGACTAATCCCCCCTCTCCTCTCCCGCAGAGCTCGGCCGACGCCATGACGCCCGACGACTTCGACATTGTCATCGAAGCCATGCTGGAGGCGCCTTACAAGAAGGAGGAGGTGAGGGGCGGGGGGCCCTTGCGAGGGGCGTGCCTCAGTTTCCCCAGCGTCTCTGGAGCAGTGGAGGCTGGAGGGGGGTCCTTGGTGGCTGGTGGGGAGAGCGGAGCGGGGGTGCTGATGCGGGCTGCCCCATCTCCCACTGAGGCGTGGCTTTGTTTCCTCCAGGCCCAGGCAGGACCCTCAAAGGCGCCAGCTGAAGCCCCTGCGGCTCAGGTAACGTATGGGGGGGCCTGTGAGGGGATGGGGGGGCTGCATCCTGTATTCACCTCTCTGTGCTCCTCCCGCAGCCCCCGGAGGAGCAGAGCAAGGAGGTGAAGAAGGAGAGTGCCAGCAGCAGGTGAGAGGGGTGGGGGGCTGCCCCACAGTAATGGCATCTCCCCCTGGCAGTGGGCGGGGCGGGGGCTGCCCCATGCTAACAGTGTCTCCCCCCGGCAGTGGGCGGGCCGTGGGGGGCTGCCCCACGTTAACGGTGTCCCCTCCCGACACTGGGGGGAGCAGGGGGCTGTCCTATGCTAATTTTGTTTCTCCACCCCCCAAGTAGCAGCAGGAAAAAGAGGAGTCGGAGCCGTGAGCACAGACACAGGTAGGGGCGGGGGGCTTGTGTGTTTGCCTGGGGGTACGGGGTGGCAGGGAGTGTCTGTGAGGGGAGCTGTGATTGGCCAGGGGCGCAGAGGGTGTGTGAGGGGAGCTGTGATTGGCTGAGAGTGGCCCAGGGATGCTGTGATTGGCCAGGGGGCTTTGATTGGCTGGGTGAGGCCAAGGGAGTGTGTGATTGGCCGGCGGGGTCTCTGACACTCTGTCTTTCTAGCCGGGACCAGGAGCGGCGGCGGCGCAGTAGCCGGAGCCGGGAGCGCCGGAGCCGCCACAGGAGCCGGAGCCGGGAGCGCCGGCGGGGGAGCCGTTCCCGGAGCCGGGAGCGCCGGCGCGAGGAGAGAGCGCGGTACCGCAGCCCCCCACTCCCCGGGTGAGTCAGGCCCTGCCCCTGGGTGAGTGGCACCCCACTCCCAGCCAGACCCTGCCCCTGGGAGAGTGAGACTCCACCCCCAGGTGAACGAGACCCCCCCCCTCCTTGGCCAACCCCTGCGCCCTGGTGAGGAAGGCCCTGGCCAGACCTACCCCCGGGCGAGGGAATCCGCTCCCCAGCCAGGCCCTGCCCTCACAACACTCCCTGCCCATCCCTACTTGGAGGGACCCCACCCCCTTCCCTCCCCTTCCCATTGCAGCCCCCTGGGGAACCCAGCCCCTGCCTTCCCTCCACTCGCTTGGCCCTGACCTGGTGTCTGCCCCCAGGCGCCGGTTTGGACACAGTAAGAGCCCCCTGTACCGGGAGAAAAGCCCCGTGCGGTGAGTGACGCCCATACCAGGAGCGGGGGGAGGCCGGGCATAGATCTGGGCCCCATGCCGGGAGCAGAGATGGGGGCTTTGGGAGTGGTGTTGGCAGGGGTCTGGCTGGGGATCTGGTTGGTTGGGCGGAGGAGAGTTGGGGGGATCTGTCCAGGGGTTGGATCATCTGGGGAGAGCGGAGCTGATGGATCTGGGTGGCAGGATCTGGCGCAAATGGGCCTGGCGGGAGAGGAGCTGGGGGGTCTGGTTGGGGGAGCGCAGTGGGGGAAGAGTCGAGGACCTCGGCCCAGCACCCCTGACATCCTGTCCGGCAGGGAGGCACTGGGCAGCCTGAGCCCCGAGGAGCGGGACGCTCGCACCGTGTTTTGCATGCAGCTGGCCGCCCGTATCCGCCCCCGCGACCTCGAGGACTTCTTCTCTGCTGTTGGCAAGGTACTGCCCCGGCCCTGCCCCGGCCCCACCCCCAGAAGGTCGAGGGTTGCCAACCCTCCAGGATTGGCCAAGAGTCTTGGGAATTAAACAGTAATCTTGAATTAGGGGTGTCTGTGATGAAATCTCCGGGAATACGTCCAACCAGAATTGGTGGCCCGAAGGAGGTCTGTCTTGCCAGAGTAGGGTGACCAGACAGCAGCTGTGAAGAACCAGGACGGGGGTGGGGGTAATAGGCACCTATATAAGAAAAAGTCCCAAAAAACAGGACTGTCCCTTTGCAAAGGGGACATCTGGACACCCTAGGCCAGGGTAACCTGGCTCTTCCACCTGCTCATTCCCGAAGCCTCACCCACTGTGCATAGGCCCCGCTCCCCTGCCATCTCCAACCCCACCCCCCATGCTGGGCCCTGCTTCTCCTCTCCGTGGCCCTTCCCCCCCTGTGCCTGGCCCTGCCCTTCCTGCCATCTCTAACCCCGTCCTGTTCTGGGCCCTGCCCCTTGGCCGTCTCCCCCCAGGTGCGGGACGTGCGGATCATCTCGGACCGGAACTCGCGGCGCTCCAAGGGCATTGCCTACGTGGAGTTCTGTGAGATCCAGTCGGTGCCGCTGGCCATCGGGCTGACGGGGCAGCGCCTGCTGGGTGTTCCCATCATCGTCCAGGCCTCCCAGGTGGGGGACAAGGGGATGATAGAGGGGAGCTGTGGGGCAGTGTCGGGGGTGGAGGGTGTCCAGGGGGGCTGCTGGGGGCAAGGGTGTCAGGGGACTAAGGGCTGTCCTGGGGGGTGGGGGGATGATGGCAGGGCGCAGGGGTCTCGGGGGACTGTAGGGTGTCCAGGAGGCAGGGGGATGACAGGAGCAAGGGGACGACCAGGGATGATGGGGGGCAGGACCATTCAGGGCAGGGCTGGGGGATGTCTCAGGGGCGGGGGACAGCCGCAGAGGGCCTGGGGGGTCCTGGCTGAGGAGGGGGGCGCCTGGGAGCGGAAGCCAGCTGGGTGGTGGTGGGGGGGAGGGGGCCGGCTGGGCCATGTCTGGGGACGGGGAGGGGACTGGGCAGCGGCGGGGGCATCAGGACCCCGGCTCACCCCACGCCTCGCCCCGCAGGCGGAGAAGAACCGGCTGGCGGCCATGGCCAGCGCCCTGCAGAAGGGCAGCGGGGGGCCCATGCGGCTCTATGTGGGCTCCCTGCACTGCAACATCACCAAGGAGATGCTGCGCGGGATCTTCGAGCCCTTCGGCAAGGTGGGGGGCGCGGCCGAGGATTCCCCCTGTGGGGAGTGGGCATCCCCATGGTGGGGAGGGGCTGGGGGGTTCCCGGAGCTGTGGGTGGGGCCTGGGGTTGTGGGAGGGGCCCTGT